GTGTGTGTTACCTGGAATGGTGCATCCTTTTTGCTTTTTTGTATAACATCTATAAAGTTAATTGTTAAAGTAATTTACACTTGACATTAAGGATATTTATTGTTTCAAATTGATGAGACTGTTGTATATCATCCAGCCTACAAACACCTGTAAGAAAGACTCTTCAAATGCTTTTTAGACCAAGCATGCAACCTGCTAGAATATACAAATATAATGTTTTGCACCCGTTGCAAAGAAATACGCCTCAACGTTTAGTGGGCAACTTTATCCTTGTTTTAAGAGTTTAGTTTTCACATATTTTTTCTTTTCCCCTGTTGGTGGATCATTGACCTCTGTAAACAAAGAAAAGACTCTGCTTCTTCTCGATCTATATTTAATTTTTCCTTTTAACACTATCTTAGGTTTATATATCAGGGTGTCCGCGGGGTCTTAAAAAGTATTAAAAGTTGATAAATCAAATTAGCGAAAATGAAGGCTATTAAAAAGTATTAAACAGCATTTTCCAAGGTCTTACATGTTGTAGCTTGTTTTTAATAAGTATATAAATTGTCCAAAGAGGTTGTATTCTAAAGTTTGCCTGAATGTAATCATTGCGTAGGTGTGTAGTGTGATTCTGTGTAGTTTATTTATGGCATCCCGTTGGGTTTGACGTCATCTGAACAGGACATCGCTTGATAGCGCGCGAAGGTCCGTTTACGCCGGTTGTTAAACAACATCGTTATGGGGAAATGCAAGTTTGCGTCCAAATGGTTGGAAGATAAGGAGGAAGGACAATCAATACTGTATATCAGGGGTGCCCAACCTTTTTTGAACCGAGAGCTACTTTTAAAGTTGCCAGTCTGCTGAGATCTACCAGTCCAAATAGAGAGGCGTAGCCATTACTGACAGCCTACTACCAGGTAAATACACACTTCTACTTGAATAAAACTGACCTTTGTATGATTAATACTTCATAAAATACTGCAGCTCCTTTATCTTACCTCTTTCTAATCTACACACATACAAGTATTTAACTGAAGTTACACAACAGTGTTGTTGATACGGAGTTGGAGTTTATTCACACGTCACACTACAGTGGGTAATGTTTTCAAGAAACATTGAACAGTGCTGCCACATATGACACAGGGAAAGAAGAAAAGACTCTGAACCCTTTCTTTGCCATTATATAAAAATAGTGTTGCTACAAAAGTATAAATGAGGCTTACTAATAAGACAACTCAGATCTGAAGCTACACAGGAATCTGCTGTCAAAGTGCAATAAAAAAGACAACATTATTAGAATCAAACCCTTTTTTTGTTGCATATTAGTAGAGTATACAAATAAATGCCTTTTAAAATAGGATGCAAGCAACACTAGTTTCTTAACCTGAATTGATAATAGACTATAATCAATTTAAGTTTGCATTCTTATACCATTTTGTACAATAATTATAATGAATAAGTTCAAACAAACTAAAACTTACAGCAGATTAATAACGGTATCTAAGTTGAGTTTTTATTATATCAAAAACCTGTTGAAATGCTTCTGTTATTTTTACTGTCCCCCAAAAGCGTGTCGGCAGCCTCCAGGAAAGCTTCTTTCACAACTTCGCCGTCTTTGAAAGACTTCATGTGTTTCGCAAGAACGTGACTGGCACGATAAGATGCTATGGTAGCAGCCTTGCTCTTGTTGTTGGGCCTGGTGGAAATGGACTGCTGTGCATTTAGCTGTCCTTTCAGGCCCCTCCCCTTTTGGAGCGTAGGGCAGAATTAGGAGGGAATTCCGTCTCGTAGCGTTTGTGCACTGTTTTGAAATGCCGCTCCTAAATTACCCTTCTTCGATAAAGCCACACTCGCATTGCAGATGAGACAGATGGACTTTGAATTGGAATAGATACAAAAATAATCATCCTCCCACTCGGAGTGAAAATTATATATTTTGGGCTTTTTTGCTTCTGCCATAATTGCGGTCTTGTGTGTGTGCGGACTGTCACTCCGACACGGACAACATCAGCGAAATAGTGCCCACTGCCCAACAGCCACGCCCAGACACATGGGGTCACGCCGGCCAATCACAAAGCTTTGATGCGTTCAAGTACATTATTCTGGCACAGGAAGATTATGTTATAGGACATTAACGATAAAACAGAATATTGTTGTTCTATTTTTAGACACATCTCGCGATCGATCGCGAGATGTGTGATCGACTGGTTGGGCACCCCTGCGTATATAGTAGGGATGTAACGATACCAAAAACTCACGGTACGATAATATCGCGATACAAAGTCCACGGTACGGTATTTATCGCGATAAAGAAAAAAAAAGCCTTTATTTTTAATTTTGTATTTATTTACATTAATTTTTTTACTTGAATTTTTTTTCTTTATTAAATAATAAATCTGATTTGTACAGCATTTTAGTAGGATAGTAGTATTTTAAAGTGTCAACAATATAATAATCTGACCCTGCAATAGAATAAATCAAGTTTCACTTTAGTTTTTCAAGTAACTCAACTCTAACTCACTCACTCAGCATCATCAAGGCTATCTTTTAGGAATATGAGCATGTCCACATTTTGAGGTAGAAGCTGGGATGTTTGGGCGTTTACAATATCCCCTGCTGTGGAAAAAACTCTCTTGCTTGGTACTGATGTTGCTGGGACAGAGAGATATGCTTTGGCCATGGGTGACTGCAGTGGGTCAAACTGTGCATTGTCTCTCCACCACTTCAAAAACAATACAGTGTTTGCCAAGAAGGTGAGGCTTATGGACAGGGCGAGATATAAATATACTGTTGGTACTTGTCAATGTCTCTAGGTATGTACATGTAGCCCTGTAAATACGATGTCCTTTATTGTTATCTGTTGTTTTATGTTCATGTTGTAACCTACTTGCTGCCATGTTTGACAGGTCTCCCTTGAAAAAGAGATTGATGATCTCAATGGGACCATCTGGTTGAATAAAGGTTTAAAATAATTTAAATAATTTAAAAAATAAATAAAAATCGCGGTATATTTTGTCAGTCTCACGACGGTATTGAGACATTTGTTTAACGCGATATTCGATATATCGTTACATCCCTAGTATATAGTCAATGTGAGGTAAAGTGTGTCGCCAACAGAGTTGGGTGTAACGCGTTACTGTAATAATATTACTTTTGTTGGTAACGGAGTAGTGTAACACGCTACTTTTATAATTCAGTAATCACACTACAGTTACTAACATTGCCCCGACACGCGTTACCTCGTTACTTACTAAAATCAGTCATAATCAAACCTCAACAAACACCTGCAAAGAACACATGCTAAGGTGAAGCTAACGCACAGCTATTTGTTGTTTGTTTATATCACGTAGTCTGTTCTTCTGCTCTGTTTTCTGGTTGTTGCCTGTTTTGAATGACGAATACACACTACCGCCGCCTGCTGGTAAGGAGAGTTATTGCCACTCACGCATGCGCAGTTCGTACGTGCTCGGCTGAAGTCTTGGCGGTGTGTTCCAGTCTGGTTCCAGTGCAACACATGGCCAACACGCAGGAGAACACGCCGACGCAACAGCGTGAGCAGAGATATACTGCGCAAAATACAGATAGCAGGAGACAGAAGACAGCCATGGTCAGATAGGAAAACATTCAGGAACTATCTGGATCAGTCTTATGCGACAATGGAAACTGAACTAAAGAGAACGTTTGAAACTTTAGCAGTCTGCGTGATCTGCCTGGAGGGGCGGGTCGGCCCTGCGAGTAAAGTAACGAGTAAAGTAACGAGTTACTTTATGTAGAGAGTAACGAAGTAGTGTAATATATTACTTTTTAAAAAAAAAGTAATATGTAGTAATATATTACTTTTTTTTAGTAACGACCCCATCTCTGGTCGCCAATGTAACCGGTTAAAACTTGAAGTGGCGATGAGGTCTTACAATGTATGAAAAGGGTCTTAAAAGGTATTAAAGTTGACTTGAGGATTCCTTCATATACCCTGATAAATGGAGCTGATTAAAAGCCTTCTAAATATGGGACTCAAGGATTTAATCTTGATTATATCAGCCCTGATGAATAATAGTACCAGTAGAAGTAAAAATATTTTAACAAAGTTTTTGGTTAAACTTTAGAAAGTAAGGAAGGTCATACTCGAGAGACTAAGTTGTAATCTATTCCCATCGATACATGGCGATTGTCACTTGTTGCAGTATAGATTGAGCAACAACAGGTGGGATTACACCCTCTGGCTCTCAGCCTCAGTTATGTGGAAGCGTGTAAGAGGGGTTGAATTGATCATCCCAGCTGCAGTGCACTCTGGGTAAGGCCGCTGTAAGGCCGAGGGTTGCCCCAGAAACCTCCAGGCGATGCGTCAGCGCTGCTTGTGGAATGCCACGGGCCCGTTTCCTCCTATTGTGACCAGCTACAGAAAGCCCCCCCTCCCTTTCTCCTTCTCCCCCCTTTGAGGTGAATAGAGGACTTCAGTGAAACTCCAGACTACCCACCCCCTACACGCACGCACGCACGCACGCACGCACGCACGCACGCACGCACGCACGCACGCACGCACGCACGCACGCACGCACGCACGCACGCACGCACGCACGCACGCACGCACGCACGCACGCACGCACGCACACACACACACACACACACACACACACACACACACACACACACACACTACCTCCTCCTGAAACTGCTTTTATTAAGCCAGGATGAATCCATGTTTTAGTTTTTCAACAATAATTTCCAGAAACTATTACACTTCTTAGTTTTAACACCAAAGCACACATGTTATAAAAAGATCAAACAATCCTGTTAAAAATCAAATGCATTTTGTCATGTTCTGTTCTTTTTTCTTCCATTCCCACCTATGTTCTAGAATAATACTATATATTATTTGACATGTTTTCATGTATGCATACAATGTGATGCCTATGTGGCTGCATATTGTGATTTGACATTTGAACTCTGTTCTGATGTTTGTTGATCACAGTGAGGGGGATTCTGTTTCTGAGTCTTTCTTCTTATTGGTTTTTCTCCAGGCATACGAAGCCTCTGACGTTTGCTGACTGTATTGGCGATGAGCTGCCGGTGGGATGGGAGGAGGCGTACGACCCCGCCGTCGGACCATACTATGTGGACCACAACACCAGTGAGCTTACTCTGATGTGTTCCTTTCACATGTTATCTTTCAATTTTTACTCGTTTCTGTTTCTTATCCCCTATCATCTTTTTTCCCTCCTGACTATCTTCACCTGACTAACTGTATGTTTTATTGTTGTCTATTATGTGCCAAAACTGTAAAGGGGACTTAAGAACCATCCTATATAAGCAGTCTTAAGTTATTCTTCTCATAAACTGGAAACACTGTTTCCCAAGTATCTAAGATACATGGATTTGAAAACTTTAAAAAAGATCATTACATTATAATAATTTCTCACCAGTCCAATAAGTGTACCTTTCCTACAGTTATTTAATGGGTTTAATTGCTATTTGGATACAGCAGTTCTATTAATCAGGTGTCTTGTCAGTATCCAAAAGGACATTTTCAAATCTTATAAATAAATGTTTGGCATTAAACTTTACATGTAAGTAAAGTAATCAGTCTTATCTCTGCTTGACTGAGCCGTATTTGATGGCTTTTCTAAATGCTTGCCAACACATATTTAGATTCCATCATTCATATATAAACAACACCATAAAGCTGAACATCATATTTTCGATATAAATCATTAAAACCAACAAGCAGGTTTTTGTGGTTTTTGCTCATATCCTACAAGACCTAACTCCTCTTCCTCCTCCACTCATGGTCTTCCCTCTCTCTCCCCTCTCTCCCTTCAGAGAGCACCCAGCTGGAGGACCCGCGGGCTCAGTGGCAGCGCGAGCAGGAGTTCATGCTGCGGGACTACCTGGCCGTGGCCCGCGACGCGCTCAGCGCCCAGAAGGAGATTTACCAGGTGAAGGAGCAGCGGCTCCGCCTGGCGCAGCAGGAGTACCGGCAGCTCCACGACGCCTGGAAGGACAAGTCCACGTCCCAGACCAGCTGTGAGTCCTGCAGATCCCTTTGTCCCACATGTAGGCAGCTTTTGGAAGTCCAACAGAAAGGGATTTAACAGCACAGTAGGTGTTCCTGACAGCTAAGCAAATGGTATCCTCTAAAAAAGCTATGGATGTCCCTTCCAAAAAAACAGTCTTAGTCTTAGGTATCTAAATGATGAACTGCATATTTGGGCTGTTTACAAAGAAAAACCTGCCTCGACACTGCTGACCTTTTGGGATAAAGAAGAAAAGAGAAGATGAGGAGGGTAGAAAGGTTTCATTTGGCATCAGTGTTGCTTTCTTTGCTGTTTTCTGAAATCACAAAAATATAGTATTCACCTTCAGAGAGGTTGATTGTTTGCTTTTAATGATGAGGTTCTTGTCAAAATAAATCCTCACGATTGTCATGAGATTTCTTCAGAAGTAAACACACTTTCCCAGATTGACTTTAGTGAATAGTTACGTGTCTCTTGCTCAGAGGTTCCTCCTGTCAGCGTTCCCTGGTTCAAATCTAAATCAGCCGTGAAATAAACATTTGAAAGAAGGTTGTCGGGCCTCCCTAACACTTCTCTTTTTCCTATTTTTTCCTTTTATTACCTGCAGTGAATTCCAGATCGTCTTCGTCCAGCAAGTACGACCCGGACATCCTAAAAGCAGAAATATCCACAGCCAAAAGTCGGGTAAGAGCCTCTGCTTCCTGTGTCGGCCTCGTCTGACTGATGCCTGATCTACACAAAAGACATGTTTCTTATTAGGCCTCAAGTTGTTTTAACATCATCAAATCTCTTGTTTTCTGAAAGTCCAAAATATAATTTATTATCCAGTTGTTTCTGATACAAATTATTTCAGCACTGTCTTGTCAGTTTCCTCAGTTAAAATATAATGAAATGTTCTTAGTCTTCTCTGAAAGTAAGCTGACTATCTTTAGGGTCCTGACTTTGGGCTGGACACTATGATGGGCATTTATTACTTCCTGCCATTAATTGACAAAACATTAAGTGAGAAAATAAATATGGGTAGATTTGCTCCTCTAGATAACTCTTAACAATGTGTACATACATCAGACAGTGTTTCAGTAAAAGTTCAATGTGAGTCAAACATTTACCATCTCATTTATGATATACTCATATGTGTGGTTACAGATTACATTACATTACATTGCATTTAGCTGACGCTTTTATCCAAAGCGACTTACAATAAGTGCGTTCGACCAACAAAATACAAACTTGAGGAAAACAGAATCATAAAGTACATCAGGCTTCATAGAGCAAAAACATTTCAAGTGCTACTCAACTGGCTTTAGATAAGCCAGCCCTTTATTAGTATATAAGTGCTTTGTTAATAGTTATTTTGCTCGAAGTGGAGTCGAAAGAGATGAGTTTTCAGTCTGCGCCGGAAGGTGTGCAAGCTATCTGCTGTCCTGATGTCAATGGGGAGCTCATTCCACCATTTTGGAGCCAGGATAGCAAACCCACGTGTTTTTGCTGATGGGAACTTGGGTCAGATGAATGATATTAGTAGTGAGCAGGAGGATACTTAGGCACTCGTTCTTCACTCTGAGTTTACGTTTACTTATCCTGGCTGTGGATCAAATATGCAGAGGAGTTACCTCCCTAACCACATGACCGCAACTCGCTCTTGCTACGTGACTGTGATACAATGCCAGGGTTTCCCACACATAGACTATACTTGGGCGGGCCGCCCAGGTATATTAACGGCCGCCCAAGTATATTTCGCGACCCATTTAGTTTTTTTTTTTTTTTTTTTATAAATTTTTTTTTTTATATATATTTTTTTTATTCGTCCGTGTCCACGACGCCATCTGCGATCGATTAACTTGTAGACAATGATCCCTCGCTCCCTTGCTCTGATCTCGCCTCCTTCTGGCCTGTTAAGTGGCCTGCCTCACACAGGGTGACTGGCTGTCCACATGATGTGGCCTGCCGACATGGCCACTGTCATACAGATCATAAATCAAAGCCCTTGATTGGTCTCTGTGTGTCATTCAAGCTCGGGATAACCTCAGCTCAGGTGAGGTAAAGGACTCTCTGAGTGTTTAGATAGTTAACTTAGTCTAAGTTCTCAGTGGGTCTCAAACGGTGTGGTCACCATTTATGTAAACACATATTTCCATTTGAGAGGGTAGTGATTGGTCTAATGGATAGTGAGGTGGGCTGAAGATCGGAAGGCTGTGAGTTCAAATCCCGACAGGAACACCACCACTAGTGTGCCCTTGAGTAAGGCACTTAGCCCTTAGTTACTCCAGGGAGAATGTCCCTGTAATCGGTCATTATAAGCAGGGCTGCACATAACTGGTGCGCAGGTGCGCATGCGCACCTCCGCCAAAAAAAGAGCACCGGGTCATTTGAAACAAAGCGCATTTGCGTACCAACATTGAGAGAGGGAGAGAGAGAGAAGGGAGAAAATAAAATAGAAAATAGAGGAGAGAGAGAGAGAAAGAAAGATATTTGCGAGTTGCATATGAACCATGATATGAACTCAGGGCCGGCCCGTAGCACTGGCTAGATGTTCGCCTTGGGCGCCAGATCTGGGGAGGCGCTGCGCTGGCAGTTCTGGGAGGGAAAAAAACATTTTGACCGTTGGGGCTCATCCTAATTTTCGGCCTTGATGTAACAATATTCACAATTAAGTAAATGTAACACCCTTTTCACCCCAGTTCCACCTTTCATTTGCCCTGTACGATGGGCGCTGTAAGTGATGAAAATGGGAGATGTTGGCTTATCTGGCGCCCGCAGCTCACAGACAAAATGCGAGTGAGCAAGGGAGAGAGGGAGGGTGCACCGGTACCAGCGCTGTTGTTATTATAATCTGGTGCCGTGCTAGCTGCTCTAACGGAGATAAGAAGAAGATGTTTCTACAATAATGTGGAGGGAGAGTCCTCTCAGACTGAGAGGCTGATATTACAGCTCAGTGAGGTAAAGGACTCTTAGTCTAAATTCAAACGGTTTGGTCACAATTTATGTAAACACATATTTCCAAGGCACTCCTTTGTAATTATTGGGATAAACAGGTTTTAAATCATTCCAATGTATACTATAGGACAGTAACCAAAAATATCCTTTAAAACTGGAGAGATACAAAAAAATGCATAAATAAAAAAATGTTAAGGTAAAATAAGATATGAATGAACAACACAAATAAAATAAGTTACATTCATTTGTTATTGGCTATGGTAGGTTATTTGTTATGTTCACATACTTATTTGATTACATCCACTTGTCTAAGATGACAACAGAGACTTTCGACCCAAACCCAGCTGTTGACTTGTGGATGCAAGCATCTAATCGCAGACTCAACCAGAGAGAAAGAAGTAGGCCTACATCATCAGCTACCATGTCTGACAGAGAGGAAGACAGTGAGGAGAACAGTCAGGAGGGTAGTGATGACAGCTTGTAGGATTACTGGTCGTGCTAATGTTGTCTTGTGTTCACCTCTGCATGTGTGTTCTGTGTTCACCTCTGCATGTGTGTTCAGTGCCGTGTGTCTGGCAAATAAAGTCAAGACCCCCTCAAAAGTTACGGTTTATTTCATTTGAAGGATGAGCACCAAGAAACATCTCCAGGTGCTCCTTTGAGAACCAGGGCAAAAAAGTTATGTGCACCCCTGATTATAAGTCGCTTTGGATAAAAGCGTCAGCTAAATGAAATGTAATGTGATTAGTAAAATATGCATGAATAAATAAATAAAAAGTTAACTAGGTGAAAAAAGGTAAGATACACTTTTAAAACTTGTTGAGAGAAAACTAGTCTTTGCTGCTGCCTCAAAGAGGAGCAGGGGGGAGAGGATGGAGAGGGGGGAGAGGAGGGAGACAGGAGAGGCTGATTCAGGAGCACAGACACACTCACAACTATAAATGAACCAAAACTAAATTAATAAACAAGTTTCAGTGTTTTTTTCATATTGGAAATGGGATGTTGTTGGTTATGGCCTTGATTTTATGATTATTGAAATGTATACAGTTCTGTTAAATATAGGTGTTTCCATAGATCTAGTCTCTTTATTTTCCCCTCAAAATGCACCAGATTGATGCATTTAACTCCAAAATAAAAAATAAAATCTTACCGGGGGGGCATGCCCCTGGACCCCCCTAGAGGATTTGAGGTCGACCCCCACTAAAAATCACATGGATAGGTTCCTAAATACATTAATAAATACATTTATTTTTTTAAATAGTAACCCATTTCCATATGTTCATGTGTGGGTAGTAGATTTAAACTATAGGGCTATCATTATGGACCCTGCCTGTACCTGTTCGCTCTGCCATCGCGTGAAGGGTCTGCTAACAAGCGACCAACAGAAAGGTTAATGTTGTTGCACGTCACCTCAACCCCCCCCGCTACCACCACCCCCCAAAGTATATTTCAGATCTGTGGGAAACACTGGCAGTTAATGGACCAGCACCAGAGGCATTCCCATACACACAGGCGTTGGAGCTGTTCTTCATGAAATCCCAGAAGGATGAAGTGCTCTGACAAACAGTGCCATCTTTGCGCAAAATGATTATACCGGAATGAAAAGTCAATAAATAATGTTGTTAAAACTTTTTTTTTTTTTCCGCGTAACACCCCCCCCCCCCCCCCCCTCCCCCCTTGCCACCACCCGCCCAAGTATATTTCATATCTGTGGGAAACACTGAATGCATTCCACTGGCTCCTGTTTAATTGTATTTTCATTAACCTCATATCTTTAAATGCAAGTCATAGCACAGTTCTTAATGCTATGAAGTTTGAAAAGTCAGTGGATATTTCAGATCAATTATGAATATTTCAAACATTGTGTGCATATGAGTACCTCTCCTGTGTCATTGGGCTCCATTGTTGCACTCTTACATTGTATTTATTCAGAATCAGAAACAGATTTATTGCCAATTATATGAACACATACGAGGAATGTGCCTCGGTGTTTACAGTGCATACGCAAAAACACAGCTTAAGAAGATACATTCAAAAGGATTTTACAGAACTATTATAACATAACAATATTGAAAAATATTTGCATAAAATATAGATATACCAAGAAATGACCTACAGTATAATACGACAAAATACTCAAATATGTGCAGTATTGGTACATAAAGTGGAAAGCTATGCAGATATTAAAAGAGGTAGCTTTGTGTACAAATGCACAAATTATTCAGAGGGTTGTGCAAGACAGGCGCTATTAAAATGAACAAGATATTGTTTGTAGCGTGTTCAATCCCACATACACCTTCTTTTTGTTCCAGATTCTCACTAAAGCACCAAATGTGTATTATTTAAAGCCTGAAATTAGTCCCCAGCTCTTTTTGGGAATTATTTACATTATTTTAAATAAATGAAACTATATTTGTGAGTCTTGTTAACAAAATAACATGTTCAGTAGGATCCAATGGTGTTGAATCTGAACCAGAGTCCTGCATCGGGTCAGGTGACCCGCAAAAAAAGGGATTCGCGGGTGGTATTTTTTCAAACGCTTTTTTCCGGGTTCGGTTCTGGGTCAAACAAAGATGATGCGGGTCGGGTCGCGGGTGTAATAATAATAATTTAGTTTAATGTTTAAATCCTCAGACCTCTCCCCCGCGGGACCGCGCATAACCATAACCTCTGCAGCGCATCAATCTGCTGCTGAGCGCGCCACATTCGAAATGGCTGAGGTGGAGCTCTCTAGCGGAGAATACAGCATTTTCAATAACACTTCCTCAAGAGCGAAATCCAACGTCTGGGAGGCTTTTGGTGTCATCCTAGATGGAGAAAATAACCAACATCCCACGCTTTCTGAGACAAATATGCAACTGCGTGTGTTAATAATTTCACGTTTTCACTGCTCATATACGTGTTCGGGTCGGGTTGCGGAACTAATTGGCAATATGTGCGGGTAGCGGGGCGGGTTCGGTATTGCACGTCGCGGGAGCGGGTCTTGAAAATCAGACCCGTGCAGGACTCTGGTCTGAACGCCACAGAGAGGTTAGATACGTTTTTCAAGACTGACACATTGATTGTTTTGGGTTTTTCATGTGATTTTAATGTAAAAAAATAGCTTATTCTTTCAAATAATTCCCAAAACTAACTGTTGTGTTCTCTGTTTCAGGTGAACAAGCTGAAGCGGGACCTGGCCTGTATGAAGCAGGAGCTTCAGTTCAAAGAACAAGGCTTTGAGACGCTCAAAGAGTAAGTGCTGCATCCTTACGTCCTCACACAGATACTGATGACCTTGATTTATCGGACAAACTGGTATTTGTTGCCCAGGTGTACTCATGTATTGCCTCCCTGACCTTGAGTTCTTGCTGAAGGGCACATTGACTGGTATACAGTCGACACTTTATGCTACCAGCAGACCTCCTCATTTAATTTGACGCGCAATGCAAGACAGTCAGAATATGACCTGAATAGCAAGTGTGTGTGACCTTCCCTTTCTGTCTTCACTGATTTACAGTATCTCCATTAAAAATGATCAAAATTAGGTTTAATGCCAAGTACACAAACCAGGCATTTGCTTTGGTGAATAATGGTGCATGACTCAAATTAAACTATTTTAAAAGCTATTTGTCAAGGTGAGTCAAAGTGAATTAAACATGTGACTCGAGTCCACACCTCTGCCGTCCGTCCACTCCTGAAAAAGTGTGTTAATATTAAAGGGAGCAAAGCATCAACACATGTCCTATCATTTCCTGAACTAATGTTAACGCTGTTCATTCCCAAAAATCAGCTATATTTTGTCTAATAATTTCAGCTACTTTTATTTGACTTTTACTGTCAGTCATTTTTATAGTTATAGCTATATGTCCACAGCAGTAGATTTTCTTAGTCCTCCGACAGTAAACTGACTATCTTTAGGTTTTAGACTGTGGGTTGATCTGCACTTCCTGTCATATACAGACAGTTATTCGATGAGATAATAATTCTGAGTACAAATGCACCACTTTCTCTGAACCATTACTTTCCTGAGTGCTACCCAGAAATAATTATACCAAAAAATAATTTGCAGTGGTTAGCAAATACCAGAGTGTAGTATGCAAAACGCACTATGACTTTATCGAAGACAACAAACTCAAATTAGAGGACTTGTTGTTTTGGAAATCCACTTTAGTTGGGACTTGAGTGCAAAGACTTCAGACTCACTTGGGAAATGCACCAACAACTTTTGGACGTTTCTGAATCGGGTTTTCCCGCTACTCGCTATAATCTGCTCTTCTTAAACATCCTAGCAATGTCTCAACCTAGCTCTTATCTTCCATTTTTCTTATCCTTATCAATGACATAATCACTCCGGCTTCACAGAAATATCTAATTTAATTTCAAAATGAAGGTGTCAAGACTTGCCAAGATGTGTCCCAAGTGAACGGTTCATGTGAATATAGAGAATTGTGTTGAATGGATGAGTGTTACTGCGAAGCGCCAGAGCAGCTGACTCTCTTATCACCTGAGTTATTGCCTCAGCATTATCACACATTCCATCAGATCATTTAACACTCTATAAACGCACCGATGGAACAACAGCTGAAGAATGTGGATTCAAGAGGAAACACCCCTTTCTATGTGACCTACTTCTACCTTCTGAAGCGAGTTCATCTCAACGTGCAAGGTGTATCAGGAGAATGTGGATCTGATTCATTTGTTCTTCATGTCACACTGAAGCGGCTGTGATTTCTGAAATTAAACCTGATTGGAGAGCAGATCCGCCGGTGTTGAATTGAACAGGAATGTCTGGTCTCGCGCAGCACAGTGAGAGTGTGAGGAGGATTAAAGAGTAGCTGAGGCAGAGCGGTTGGACGGCATTCCCCCGTGATTTTCCTCTCCTGTTTCAGGCGTCAGACGCCACTCGGCAACCAATCGCTGTTTGCAGAAATACGAATAGGCTTAGACTGGAATGCAGCCCAACACTCCTGTGAAGATTTCACAAAATACTGCTGCATAGGAGGGGATTTACTATGTTTCACATATGTATGAACAGATAAATAATACACTGAATAAGGCATATGGAGTCCCCGGTACTTTAGTGTGCTTTTGGCTGGGTCTGTTTTGATCAGTTTTGGATATTATGTCAAGTTTTTCGGACAAAGAGTTATAGAATATTTTAAACCAGTTCCCAGCATAGTCTCACGATGACTGTCGTTTTATGAGGGCAGAACATATGTTTGTATTCCACAAGCTCCTTTCTCCAGACTTCCCTGTAATATGTTCCTCTTTTTCTTGTGATTAATTGGATGATTTTATTTTGTATTCAACAACACTTCAAAAACAACTATTAGACATTGGTACTGGGCTATTTCAGCTGATACCTAGCACTAAGTAGTAACACAACTTCTCCAGTAAATTATACCAGCATGTCTTCCTTTTTATACCTACATATAGAATAAAATGCACTTTGTATTATTTTGTCAGCCAACCAAACACCACAAGCATTCTTTATGATAATGCAACTTCTAAATGGCCTCCTACCACAGGAGCTACTGCCAATACAGTCTGTGGTGTGGGGAGCGCTCTATGAATACATATTTTAATAGTTTGAACACAAACTGACATGTGTTTGAGTTAAGGATAAAGACCGTAACAGTCTGCGTTACACCTACAGTGAATGTTAAGCTTACAGCTGATCAATTTAACATGCTATAATGTCGTTAACATTTAAACAAACATTAGCTTTAGTTAAACAACATATTATATCCTTTTCAGTTATATAGTTCTTTCTTTGTAGCAATTTATTGTTACTTTTATCATAATTATTTTCATTATCATGACGTTACTTTCTTTTACTGTAGGTGTGTGCTACAGTTGTGAAAGGGAACTCCAAACTAAGTACTCTTCATATAAAAAAAAGGGGGGCAACGTCTTTGCCATGCTTTACCAATTCGGATCATTTCTCACAAGCAATATAACCTTTAAAACAACTATCAGTTCATCTATCACAGTCTTCAAATGTTAGTCCAACATATTGATGGTATCTTCCTCCAAAATGATACAAAAGTATTGCTTTGATGCCCATAATCTTTTGGCCTTATGTGCGGTATGCTTTGAGGCATTTAAGTTAACCAGGCTCTTTCTCCTTGGGCAAAACATTGGTGTGAAATGAAAAATGTACAGTAAAGATTTGGATTGTCCATTTTAAACGTGACTGTTTCAGCTTAGTAACTATTTGTTAAAGGTCCCTCTCTCTCTCTCTCTGGGGTCATTGTGATTTTTGTCGTAAAAAGGTTGATAACAGCGTTTTCTCTCGGCATAAGTCCATCTTTGAGAAGGACTTAGAGAGGATTACTGGTTCTCTCTGCCTGACACAGACTCTCTCACTTCCTCATTCTCTCTGTACCTTGTTTTCTCCCTCTCCCTCTCTCTCTCTGAACCTCCCCCCCTCTCCCTCTCTGAAGAATGTGGAAGGACCTGTTATTCAGATGCATGCATGACTTGCTGATGAAAGGCTTTACAGAGCTGCTGCCTCTGATGGCTGTTTCCTGTCTGTTCTCCCTGCAGCCAAACACTGGATCTCATGTGTGAACGCTACAAATTGAGCAAACATTTAATCTCCATTTCCCAAATGGTCCTGAGTTATAACGCAGAATCAGAATCAGAATCAGGGTTATTGCAAAGTAGGTTGATAATGTGGCATACATAGTAAGACGAATTGGGTTATAGAACTTTTTGAAAACTATTATAAAATAAAAAAACGGAATAAAACATTTTACAAGAAATATCAATTTACAAAGAAATATATACAAAAGAAAGTTACTCTGAAAAAATGTGCAGTACATCAGAATTGAAAGTGAATAGCTGTAAAAGCTGATTAATCAAAATAACAAAAGTCGGCTTTATGTTTAAACCCATTTTAATGTGGACTTTATTTGGTTATTATTAGTTTTTTATTATTGCCATTATCTTGTTCAGACGGACGAAGGACCAACAGCTACGTTAAGTCATCTCCTGCTTTACATAAAAAATCAGCTCTGCTTCAAAAAAGCTTTACTCATAATTCAGTTATCCTTTTTAACATATTTTGTAACTTTTCTGTCATTTCAGTGTCTCTCCTTTTCTACCTGTTGCCTTTAAGACAATGAGCCAATCCCTCTCTTACAACACACTGGGTGTTTCTCAATCGCGAGTAAAGCTGCTCCAGAGCCACTATTTCAAGCATGCTACGTCATCGAGTGCCGCCGAAGTACTGTTCCAATGTCCTTCGTTTGGAGAAATTTCGAGGCCGCACATGTGTAGACTCCGCGGTCTTAAAATCCCCACAATGCTTTGCGCACGGACCAATTTCCCCAAATCTATGGCGGAAAATGTAAGGCGGGGCCTCTCATATGAAGCACACCTGCACACTTGCTAGCCTGTTCCACTCTTTGTTTTCCGAATGCCAGGAAGGATTCTTGCCTCGCTTCTGAAGCAAGACGCTCGGAAGACATGTGCTACCAAGCAAGCGTACTCGAGATTGAGAAACACCCAGTATGTGCACGTCTTGAAAAGTCTCAAAAAGTCTAAACACCCCAAGAGAAAAACCCTTAGATATTGTGTCTCACAAAATCCACTTGTATTAGTTATAAATGTTTTTTTTTTGTCGTGATGCTGACCTTTTGGAGACGTAGAGTATACATTGGTCTTTACACCTCTAAACTAAAACGGGGATGGTTGTGACGGTGCTGCAGGAGGCTGTTCTGTTCTTTTTTGGGAAGTTTTTTAATGTAATAACAAATAATTGTACTTTAAATTGTCTGCCTTTGTTTCCCATCATACTTTTATATGATCATGAACGTGATCTCGCCTCCTATTTACAATAAACCCTTACACCGAGTATAACAAAGATGCAAGTGCAAGATCCTGCAGTCTAAGAGCCAGCTAAATGTGCTGCAGTCCCCAGCTGATCAAATGTCTGCTTTTAAAGCTGAGGCTGCAGTGTTCCAATCTCTGGCCCATCAAGGTATTGTGAGTTTACAAAGGAAAAGAATCAGCGCAGGGGATTATTCGGAGAAAACAACCCTCTTGCATATTTTTAATATCTAATCCATTTTTAAAACTTTGCTGATAGTTCACAGAATATCGTTGATAACATCATAATCAGGATACATCGTACAATCATTTCTCAAAGAACAAGTAATAAGCTCAATAGAGAAGCTTGGAAAATATGTAAATAGGTGAGAGAATGAGCAATGCCTCCACCTGCTGTTATTCTTCACTCTGTGGTCACAGCTTTAGCTTCACACTTAGTGTAACTGTATGCAAATGAGTCAAAGTGTTGCTGTCATGTCTCCACACTCAGCTGATCTAGTTGCTTTTGTAAACAGTTAAAAGAGCAGCTGATTAAAAGTCATCAGATCTGTGAAAGTAATTCATCCGTTCAGAGCAGCTGACAGTAAATGTGTCAGGACATTTTGACAGGATCATTGGCTGTTGATACTGCTACTTAAATCTATCTAATGCATCATCTCCTGTCTCTCCCCCCCCCAGGATAGACCTGAAGGTGTCCAGCAGCCCGTATGGCTTCAAGCTGCAGGAGGCGCAGAGCATCCTCAGCGAGGTCCGCACCATCCGAGACGCCATCAGCTCTGGGGAGAAGGAGAAACAGGAACTCATGCAGGTAAAAAGACACATCCGTAATGAAGGGTGTCACAGTCAAGTAAATCTAGAAACATGTGATGATGAGCCCATAACTAGTCAAGCTTTGTCGGGCTCAGCTTAGTAGCACCTGTAATTTGATGTTTAATCTCTAAATGTTCCAAAATCAGATATTCTAAACGTTGTTTGTCAACGTAAACCTGTTTAGCATTGACAAACAAATTCACTACACTGGTGAACCACCTTCTTCGATTTCTCATCATTTACATTTTTTTGTGTAACGGACTGAGACAAATGACCTGAACTCGAACACGAGAAGAATAAACGTCAGTACAAACGGCTTGCTGATGTAAAAGCTTAGCATTGTTTAAAGGTCGCTGAAGGCAGGATGTTGAGTTGATCAGCTCCAGTATCAACTCTTTGATGAACAAAAGGAGAAAGGAAAGAGGAGACAGGAACTCCACATACTGACATGTGATACAGAGAGCCACGTGGATCATGTCAGGAATCTCAGCCAGACCTCATCACAATGTGCATATTCCCACAAAAGAAAGGAATGTCATATTACTTGCTTACGTGTTTTTAGGCCTTTTTATAGAAAACTTCATGCTTAAAAACCAACTTTTCGATCAACTGCTACAAGGTCACTTTGCTACTCGCTGTTTTTAACATTACCGTAGTCGACCATGAAAGAAAGTTTATGGTGTTCCTTCGAAAAACAGCTTGTCTTTTATAGTCAGAGACAAGCAAATATGGGGTGTATAAATGAGTCACATTCAATATTCAAAACTTTATTGTCATGTGCACGGTATCTACAGTGTAGATATGGCAATGACAAACTGAAGTCACAGTGCAACATGAATATATAGGACATAAATAAAACAGATAAAATAATGCAAGAGAATGTTTTGAGATGTGCAACAATGTAAATACAAATAATATAGAAATAGTGCAAGAAGTGGATGGATGGATTAGGGAATGGTGATATGAAACATATTGAATTTCCCAATGTGTTTTACCAATTATCTCTATCAAACTAGCGACGATATTAAACATACATTCCTCAAATAATCTTTAGAAACATGGATTTAATGACCAATCATGTAAGGGCAAATATCAGCAAAGGTACATTTACATCATTTTTTATTTTACTAGGAAAAAATTACGATATCCAAAATCTATGGCGATATCTGGTGTCATATCATTTATCAATATAATTCCCTGCCATAAAATACATAGGCTGTAATGTGGAAAGTAGCAGAATTGAATGGCTCTGACTGAATAACTTCCAGATGCTTTGTGCCTTGAGGTGCAGCGTAACACTCATCTTCAAACGCTGTGGCGGGCAGTGGTTTGTGAAGAAGAGGATGAATAGGAAATGAAGTTGGAGTACGAAGCGAGGCTGTGTGAAGCGAGGAGACGAGGCCTTGAGACGACCCTCAGGAGAGTCTTAATGTTAAAACACTTCACATTATATTGCTGTGAGAAAAGGGCCACATGCAGTAAAACAGATGTAGCTGAGGCTGCTTCAGAGCTTCCTGTCGGCTTCACTCGGGAGAAGAAGCGTTGTGTTTGTGGGGATCAGTTTCAGTGTTTTCTCCAAAGTGAAAACTATTTAGCCGACGGCAGCAACATTTATCAACGCTGAGGTTTCATTTTGTTCGCTGCTCATGTGGTTTAAACTCTGAGTGGGTATTCGATAAGATGGAACTTTATTTATCCCCTTGGGGAAATTCAGATGGATGGATTGATAATTTATTTATCCTAATTTTTGGAAATAGTTTTGTCACAGCAGCATGTTGACAGCCGTTTAACAAGAAAAAGAAAAACATGTCTTAAAAATAGAATAAAATACACATATTCACACTATAGAAAATATATATTCAGAAGAGTATTTACACACTATAAAATATACAGAATAAATTAGAATACTAATCTACTAATGGGACAGAATCATATAAGGATAGTCTACTTTATACAGATTTTTAATTCAAAATAAAATGTATCCTGTGAGTTATTGGCTACAATATGCGAGTACAGTTTGTGCATCTTGTTCATTATTATAGAAAGGGAGAACCAAAACTATTTAATTATTTGAGGGTGAATTAGTATTTATTTTTTTGTCAGTTCTGGTATTTCAGGTGGCACTTTAGTCAGACACCACCAGTTTGAGTTTGGAAACAATTATGCAACGTATGGTTGCATCTACGTATCTTCTTTATTGTCATATTTCTATCTTTTGTGTTTTCGGTTAATCATTTTGTCTATAAAATATCAAAAGAAGTTGCAATTATTTCTTATTTTAAAGCCCAATGTGCATCTTTAAATGCCTCGGTTTGACTGACAATATATCCAAAACCAAAATAAGTTTTCAGCTGATTTCCAATGATATAAAAGAGAAAAGCAGCAAATCCTTCTTTGCAACACTGCTAGGTTCTGCTGCATGGTGACTTTAAGTTCAAGGTCCAATATGCTTTATTTGCATGAATGGAAATGCGTCTATCCTCCTCTTCACTGCTCTCTGCGACAAACAAAAGGTGTTTTCCATTAACTTTTATAACTCCAAACCCTCCTTTGCTTCTCTACTGTCCTTTATCGTGTGTGACAGCATCGCAGTGCAGTGTTTACTCCGTAGTTCCACCATGACTGCAGACTCTATTCAAATGAAATGATGTGATTTGTGGCTCTCATGCAGAAAATGGCAAACCACCCCTAATTGGTTCTTGATTGCTAATACACCGTTGTTCATCATTATAATGCCTCGAGGATACATTTTTGATATCTGTCTTGAAAACATTTGTAATGTGTTTGAATAGGAAAGATGTTTGTTCATGCTCCAGGCAAAAACACGCCTGCATATTAAAGGGGAGAACATTTCAAATGTCTATAAATCTTAGTTTTAAGCATTTCCGACTTACATTTTAGACTTTAGACTAAAATGAAAACTCCCAGTGGTGATAATTTTCCATCAGTCGCATATACATTCTTAAAGATTGCAAATATCAGGTTTTTTCAGGCTATCCTGTTTGCAGTCGTTTGGCTCATATTTATTTAAAGGTAGAGTGAGGAAAATGTGTTCAAGAAAACATAGTCTGCCTCCCATCTCTCCCCCTTCCTCCCCCTCGCCATCTGCAGCCGACAGTTCAGTCTGTGTGTGTGTGTGTGTGTGTGTGTGTGTGTGTGTGTGTGTGTGTGTGTGTGTGTGTGTGTGTGTGTGTGTGTGTGTGTGTGTGTGTGTGTGTGTGTGTGTGTGTGTGTGTGTGTGTGTGTGTGTGTGTGTGTGTGTGTGTGTGTGTGTGTGTGTGTGTGTGTGTGTGTGTGTGTGTGGTGTGTGTGTGTGTGTGTGTGTGTGTGTGTGTGTGTGTGTGTGTGTGTGTGTGTGTGTGTGTGTGTGTGTGTGTGTGTGTAACAGGCCTCACTGACAGCTTCACTTTAAACTGAGCCGATACAATTAGTCAAAACAGTGATTTGTCAATCAAATTTGACAATCTATTCATTGTCTCTCTCAATTTTCAAGCAAAAATACCAAAGCTCTCAATTTTGGGAATGTGCAGCTGTCCTGCGTCTCAAGTGATAATAATCTGAATATTTTTGGTTTTCTAGTGTAGGAATATATTGTTTGATATGTACATATATATCTACTTGCTGCAGAAAATGAGGAGAATCGGTTATATTAAAATGATGTGGATCCACTTTGTCTGGCACATGGAAAGTGATACAAATGTTTGAAATGGGGGAAAAAAAATCTAGCAGCTGCTCAATTAAAATAAAACTGCATCTGCTGTTTTTTTCCCAGAGCCCTTAGAGAAAAAGGTATATGATTTCTGTGTAATGAAATCTTTCAAATACAAATGTAAACACTTATCTCTGGTTGCCACTCGGGTCTGTATAACAGCCATGTAGAGCTTTGTATTTCAACTAAGATGCTGTTAAGACATTATCTAAATACTTAAACACTCCCACGATCAAAAGGGTGGTAATGTTATTTTCACGCCCCCTTTGAAAAGCAAAGATAAGGTGCGTTCCAAGCAGGCTTCAGAAGCAGCCGCCGAGCCGGCAGCGTCTCTGCTGCTGCTCCACAAACACACCGGGAACATGCAGCGAACACACAGCAGTGTTTCCCCTAGGTTTACTGCTTTGGGGGGGTGCTGCCCATAGGCGGATTTTGCGGGGGGGCATTACCCCCCCCCCCCCCCCCCCCCCCCCCTAGTGGCTGAAATATGTTACAGCATTACTACGTCGAAGACTGTTCCAATACAAATATTTCGTATATCAATATTTGAATAAGGTAGGACACTGGTTAATAATATTGTAGCGTGTTCAAGTAACCAAGGGATATAGTAGTTATCAAATAAGTATAAGATGTGCAAAGTTATGATAAGTTTTACAGTTATGTAATGCACTGTTGTTGGGGGGAGAGACCGCCCCTTCCATATGAGTTTGTGTGTACGGCGGGCATGGAAAAGTCATACACAGTTAGCAGGACAAACGTCACTTTGTAGTTCAAGGTTGATTCCAAGAAGCTTCAATTCCTAGATGATCAAACGAGAGATTAGAGTGCAAAGGACAAAATGTTCAGAAACAATGAGACATCTACGGTGTCATAATATAGTTTGATGCCCTAATCCCACTGCATTCAATCACTCACTTCATATCTTAATTATATATAATCTTAGTTTCGTTATACTCGAATTGCAAAAATAATCGTTTATATACATTTATATCGCAATATGGACTATCCAAATCGTATTAAACGCAATATTTGTCAAAGGCTAAATACGGGAAAGTACTGTATCTCAATGAGACTACAAACGGTCTTTTGTCAAACCAAAATCACATTCATGATTTTAAAATATTTGCCATTGAGAATGTAAATATTGTTTAAAAAAAGAGATCATTTCCTAGTGTCCCGAAACATATCGCAATTGCAATATCATTGTGGTATAATCACATGTTTCCATCGTGTGCAGCCCTTCTGAAAGCAGTACTATATTGTTACTTTATATAACTCTTTTCTGTCCTTAATCACTTCCTGTTCCACTCCTTGTCTCCTATTCCTTGTGTAGTTTCTCACCCCGATGTGCCAGTTTCTCCCTCCTTCTGATCCTTGCTCCATGTAATCTGCAGCAGCTCTTGTTTTATCTCTTGTAGAAACTGGCGGTGCTGAAGGACAGTTTCCAGCTGGACTCGGGCTCTCAGCAGGAGCTGTGGGGCAGCAGTCCCTCGCTCGCTAACTCCGAGCTGTGCATCCCGCGGCTGTACTCCGACGCCGGCTCGCAGACCGACATCCCCGCTGAGGTGAGTCTCAGGGAGGATGTCAGTTTTATTTGGTTTTTTAAACATGTATTTGTATGATTTTTTTTTTACATTTATCACATTACACAAACACAACCGAATATTCCCCAACATTAGACATATGGCAGATTACAAAATAATTCTAAAATAAAAAGTGTGCAGTTACTAGAAATCAGTTTAAAGTACAGACCAAGAATATAATTACATTTGCAATAAAAGCCCATCCACAAACAGAGCAGAGTGCTTACAATTCTTCAAATAGATGAACCATATTCAACATTTCCTCACAGTAGTTTAGTCTATTCACTTTAACCTTCCATAGCTTCTGCAATGTCCCCATTTTTTATAAATTCCAAAAACAATTAGGATGTCACTTTTTACTTCACACGAGATACAGCTTTCAGAGAGGTCACACAGTCTGGGTTTTGAAGTTTTGCAGTTATCAGCACAACATAAGGTATAGTCCCACAGGTAAAAAACGAAATCAAAAAGTCTACCACGTGTTGGCATTCATCTTAGGGCAAGAGACAAAAAAATATGGACACCAAGTCGACCTTTTAAAAGACAGGCTATCCATCAAACTGAGTGCAAGGACTTTTTATGTATTGATTTACTATAGAACATGCCCCTGAACATTGTTATCTATTACCTGTTGGAAGATAATGGCTATGTCGCCCAGACTTGATTTGACTTTATTTTTTATACAAAAACATTCTTGAACAATCTAGGTTTGGAAAAACTAGACTAAACTAAATGTTGCATCATAATTATGTCCTGTAATGAGCAATTTACAAGGCTGTCTTGGTACGTTTGCTTTATTAAAGGATGATCCTGAATATTGTTTTATAAACTGAAGTGTGTAAACGTCCATTGTGTCATTGTTTGTGTGTAGTTCATGACCAGCACCAACAAACTGGCAGAGAAGGTTCGTGTGAGTCTGCAGTACGAGGAGGCCAAGAGAAGGTGCGCGTAAAATCTATTGAAAACATTCAAATATGTCTGTGCTTGCAAGATTTTATGTCAAGGAATGCCTTAACCTGAATTAATGAAACTTTTATAATCGGTGTTATTTAATTTTGTATGGATTCAGATTTGCAAAAGCTCTGTGTGATTTAGTTATTTTACCAGCTCACTAATCTGCTGTCGTTCTCCTGAGCGTTAAGCATCTAAGAGAATTTGCTCAAAATAAACACTGTAAAGAGAAGAGGATTTGTAGCAAAGGGTTGTTTGACCCTGGGTGTTCATCATACAGTTTCAAGGTCGAATACTTCTTTACAGAACTGTAATTATCTATGAAAACAGTTTTTCCTGTGTTCCTCCGAAGAGCCAATTGATGGCTAGAGTCAAAAGTCAAAGTCAACTTTATTATGTGTGATACAAACAGGGAGATCAACATTCTGTTTCTCAATGGCCCCAAGAATAAGAATATATACAAATATATGTATGTGTATATATACATACAAAAATGAATATATAAAAATAGCAGTCTACACCAGAGGTCGCGTTAACCAAATATTTTCCGTCTATGGCGGATTTTTTTTAACAATGACAGAAAAATCTGAAAGCAGTCCGTCATTTTGACGGATTAGATCAAACTCGGAACAGCGCCAAAGTTTCCCGCAGCGAGGCTCCGGTGTTATGCCGTGTTATGCATGCCCGCCAAAAAGGAAATGATATTGGTTCTAAACTGTACTTTGCCGTACAAATCATTGAAATGTCCGCGAGGTGCATGCATAACACAGCATAACACGGCATAACACGGCATAACACAGCATAACACGGCATAACACGGCATAACACAGCATAACACGGCATAACACGGCATAACACGGCATAACACGGCATAACACGGCATAACACGGCATAACACGGCATAACACGGCATAACACGGCATAACACGGCATAACACCGGCGCTAATACTTCACGAGGGTGCTCTCCACCCCCCCGTTACAGACCCGACGGATAATAATAATAATAATAATAATACTTATATTTATTATAGCGCTTTATTAAAGATAATGGATTATGACCGTCAAAATGACGGGCAACGAAAAAGTCTAACGCAACCTCTGGTCTACACACACATTTGGACACAGGTGTAAGTCTAGTCTGGTAAACTAGACTTCTAATCATAATAATAACTTTGATTTATAAAGTGTCTTTCATTAAACCCAAGGACCCTTAACAATAATTCTAAATGGATGAATATATGACAACAGTACAAATATTCGGTCCATTGCAGCTAGTAGAGAGAACGTGTATGCTGCTGGATGACTGTATGTGTCTCTGTGTGTATTATTGAGTATATAAGTCAAATGTTCATTAAACGTCTCCTCTTCCTCCTCCTCCTCCTCCTCCTCCTCCTCCTCCTCCTCCTCCTCCTCCTCCTCCTCCTCCTCCTCCTCCTCCTCCTCCTCCTCCAGGATCGCCACCATCGAGGTGCAGATCGCAAAACTGGACAGCGAGGCGTGGCCGGGGCTGCTGGACCCGGAGCGGGACCGCCTCATCCTCATCAACGAGAAGGAGGAGCTGCTGAAGGAGCTGCAGTACGTCAGCCCCCGCCAGCGCCTGCAGCCCAACGACAAGGAGAAGCTGGAGTCTGAGAAGAAACGTCTGGAGAGAGACCTGCAGGCGGCCAGAGACAACCAGAGCAAGGCCCTGACCGAGAGGTGGGGGGGCAGGGGTTTATTATTACACATGAAATACTTTATCGATAATTATCAAAATCTGTAATGTACATGTAAGGCAAGGCAAGTTTATTTATATAGCACCTTTCAACACAAGGCAATTCAAAGTGCTTGACAAAAATGAAAGACATTAAGAGCATTGAGAAATAGTGCGGCGGAAACACATTATAAAATGGCGTTTAAGGAGTAATGTAAACATGAACACAATAAATAATGATGCACACAAAGGAGGAAAGGAGGAGATAACTACATATATCTGTCTTCTTTAAGGACACACAGTTAATCAAAAGTTATGGAAATTGAAATACAGACTAGTACCAAAACACAATATTTAGTAAGCCAACATTTGTGAAAATGAAGCACTGTGGGCCTGCAGAGAAACACTGGCCTTCAAACTCTGTTCTACAGACTTTATAAATAATCCTTGTTTGTTAAAGATCCTCCAAAAACATTACGTTATTATAATTTTTATCATGTTTTTTAATCATATTGTGAGCAATGTTTCATTCCCTCCTATCCTATTGCAATTACAATATCAGTCAATGTTACCTAAATGAGTTATTTCCCTAAAGTGTGCAGCCCTCATCTCTGTCTGACAGGAGCAGCAGCTGCTGCTGAGTTTCTGTGTGTTTACTCTCTGACTCTCTGGAGAAGGTTAGAGGAGACGCTGACAGCACTGAGGAGGCATTATCGTCTCCTCTGCTGATGAAGTGACTGACCTTCTGCTGCTGTTTGACTCCTCTGACCTTCAGCCCTTCAGAGACGTCAAACCTCCCTGATGATTATTAACAGTTAGAGATGAGCATGACACTCGTCTCCTTTCCTCTACTTGTTTCCTCTTCTGTTCTGGTTGCCTCTTCTTGTCCACTCTCCCTGAAGTCTCCTCTTCTTATTTTTTCTCGTCTCATCTCGTCTCCTTTTTTATTTCCTCTCCTCTTTTGTAACCTCTCCTCTCTTGTCCCCCCCTTCTCCTTGTTTTTTCTCCTTTCCTCTTCTCCCATCTTCCTTTCCTCTCCTTGTCTCATCTCCTGTCTTTGTTTCCTCTACTCCTCTCCTTTTCTTTTATTTCCTCTCAACTCCTTGCCTTGTCTCTTGAACTCTCCTGCACCCCCTTCTCCTTGTCTCTTCTCCTTGTCTTATATCCTGTCTTTGTTTGCTCTACTCCTCTCCGTTTCTTCTTTCTCATCTCCTCTCCTTGTCTTCTTTTCTTTTTCTTGTCTACTCTCTTTGTCTCCTCTACTTTCTTTTCCTATTTATTTTTAAGTCTCATCTCGTCTCCTCTTTGTTTCCTCTCCTTGTCCCTTGGCCTCTCTCCATCCCCCCTCTTATTGTTCTCTCTCATGTCCTCTTCTCCCATTTGTCCACTCCTTGTCTCATCTCCTTTTTTTGTTTTCTTTGTTTTTTCTCCTGTCCACTCCTTGTCTCCTTACTTTTCCTTGTCAACTCTCTTTGTCTCCTCTGCGTGTCTTTCTCTTTTCCTTGTTTCCACCCCTGTCCGATCCCTATCTCCTTATCTCCTCTTCTTCTTCTCTACCTCTCTATTTCCAGTGTTTTAGTCTTTTATTCCTCCATGTTCTCTCTGTTCCTGCTCTTCAACATATGTCCTTCTCCCCTCCTCCCTCTCTGTAGTTTTGTATCACTCTCACTTTTCCTAAATAGCAGCAGACCAGAACCATCAAGATCACCATCTCTCCCTCTCTCTCACCCCCCCCAGCAGGACTCTTATTATTCAGGCTTCAGGTCAGACTCTACCTGAGCTCTGTCTCTCTTTGTGTGTCTTCTCCTGTTCCTGAAACCTGAGAGGCTGCAGGGCCTGCTCACAAAAGGAACCTCTTGTAGTCTGCGCACACACATGCACATGCACATGTACACACACACACACACACACACACACACACACACACACACACACACACACACACACACACACACACACACACACACACACACACACACACACACACACACACACACACACACACACACACACACACACACACACACACACACACACACACACACACACCACACACACACACACACACACCACACACACACACACACACACACACACACACACAGATGAAGAAGAAATATGCTTAGGATTTCCTGAAGATGAATTCACGTTTTGAGTGCAGCAAACACTTTCATTGGTTTAGAAGTTTTAAAAGACTCCATGCAGGTATTATCAGATATTTGGCCAATTAGACCTCCATTCAAGTTGGGCAAAGCTCTGCCGGACATTGTGTGAAAGGTCATTATAGAAATGTCAAGTTGCCCTTCTCTGAAAAACACCACAGTGCTAGCAGAAGAGGCAGGCTTATGTCAAAAAAGCTCAGTCTGAAAACACACAAACAGTCCTGAAAACGAGCTTGTATAGTATCTTGTAAAAAAAACAAAAACACTTTTGAATCGGGCTGCAGTGTGTAGGTTTCCTGGTGCATGTTAATTTATTTTATTTGTTTATTATTTAAAACAAATATCGGAAAATGTTCTTTTTACATCATTAAAAGTCTGAAATATACGTTAACACTCGGAGGCACTGTATAACTTTATTGACTAACCCACAAGTCAATCTTTTGATATCTTCGTTAACATTTAAGAAACAATATGAGCGTCCTTCAAAAATATTTCTGTTTCTTTCCACTCTGGCTTTTTCTCCCTCCTCCTCTGTAGACCAAATGCATTTCAGTCCGCACACGCTTTTCTTCTCATTAGTAAAAGAAACACTCACAGTGATTACATTATAGAAGATCCAAAAACGAGTACACACACACACACACACACACACACACACACACACACACACACACACACACACACACACACACACACACACACACACACACAAGGCTTCCCCTCTTTGGCCTGTTTGCTCTCCAGCCATGGATCATAGTAACAGCTGTTCATGTTTTCCTCAGAACAAAGCTTATTCAAACAGATGACACCGCTGTCCCCTGAACACAAAGTGGCTTTTCCCCATGACGCCTGAACACATCACCACCGCTGTCATGTTATAATTGTTCTCTTTTTCAAGGACTCAAAACCATTATTGATTTATTTTATATATGTGAAAGTGACCAATGTTCTGCCTGGGAGCAGCACAAAAGGAATAAGATTAGTGTTGTTTTCAATTTGTAGACAATTGAATTGTTCAGAAAGAGAGTTATTTTTAATCCGAAGGTCTGTAACTGACTGATTATTTTTGATCATTTCAGGCTGAGACTCCACTGCAAGAGGAACAAACTGGTCCGAGAGCTGGAGGAGATGGTCCGTCTGGCCACATCCCTGCATACTCAACTCAAAGGGTTTGTTTCTCTCATTACTGCTGTCGATGTCTTAAAGCAGTGGTTCTCAAACTTTTTTCAATAATGTACCCCCTTTGAAACAAATATTCCGCCAAGTACCCCCTGATCAGCGCAAACACAATTTGTTAGGGACAAAATGCCTATATAAAGAGGTACAGTACAGCCTTGCACCATCAGTGTCTGATTTATTAAAACAACAACATTGTAACTGAGAAAAACTTAAATGCTACATTTCAAATGTTTACAATCCATCACTAAATTCATGGCAAACCAATTTTAACATCATGCAATAACACTGAGACGACATTAGTTGCATTGAACTGATCTTTTTAATAAGTTGTACTTACAATGTAGTGAGAAACATGGGCTTGTGCTTCACTGAGGATATTTGTCATTCTCAGTGACAGGGAGGCAAACTGCAGTTATTACACTTCGCGTTTTGAAATATATGTAGGCCGAGGCTAACTCTGTTCATATAAAACCCACACTGCTCAAACTTCGTTACTTTTCCTAAAATTTGTATATTTATTTATTTTGGGGCGTGGGGAATGAAGAGAAAAAAAGATATGAGCATTTTATGAGCATGGGATTTTGACCCCTCATATAAACATATGCATAATGCTGCGCTATACTTTGCGGCCACACGCCGTTGCCAAGCAACGCTTATTGTTTAGGTCCTTTGATAAGCAGGCAGTCATATCATTAGCTAGAACTAGCTAGATCTGATAGATTTGGACAAAAACGCGAGTGAAGTCAGAATTCTGAGATTTCCAGAAAATAAATATTATCATTTAAAGGGGACCTATCATGCAAAATGCACTTTTTTTACGTATTTTATACATGAATATGTGTCCCCGGTGTGTTAGGGAACTCACCAAGTGTCAGAAAACACAACCCTCTCTCTTTTCCTCCATACCCAAATCTCTAAAAACAGGGCTAATACAGACTGATACAGATTTGAAATATCTCTGACGTCAGAAACAAGGAGCTCCGCCTATATGGGCAACTCTCCACCTATCAGGGGAATGGGGGGTTGCCGTGGCATGGTAACAGCATGGTAACAGCATGGTAACATGACGCTCGTGCCTCGCCCCCCTCCTTTGCAGTGGGGCATGGTCAGCTGCAGCTCATTTGCCACAGAATCAGCCCTTGCAAAAACAGGGCTGGAATACAGCAAATAGAGCGAAATGACTCGAGGCATGGCTAAAATGCATGATCTGTTTGGTATTTTGAAAAAAAAACTTCACAGACATGTCTTATATAGGTATGGCCCTACAATATATTATTCAAATATAGCATGATAGGTCCACTTTAAAAAACTCAAATTCTGACTTTTTTTCTCAGATTAAGGTCAGAACAAATATAGGGTCATTTCTGGTTTCTTGGTCACATCCCAAACAAGTGTTTCTCATGTGTCCCTAATCCTTTTACCTAAAATTAACATTTTAAGCACCAAGTCATTTATCTGAAAATTAATATTTCTCGTAAAAATCCAATAAAAAACTAATGTTCATTAGTTGATAGAGATAGGGCTGGACGGTTATCGTCAGTACAGTAGAGACAGTTAATGAAGGAACATTTAGAAACAAATCTGTTGACTTAAAGATCAGCATGTTTTGCTTTATTTTTCCTACATTAGGGGAGGTTGAGAACATTTGGCGCGATGGAAGTATTTTAATGTTTAATCGCCAAACATTTGCAAAAGATGAAAGCCATTTTGTTCTCCTCGTCGTTTTCATTTCACTCGACACAAATCTCTCTTTCCAGCCCAATTATAAACATCCCAGGGAGGGAATCACATTTTTATGAGCTGACGCAAGGCAGTTGTAAGAACTGTACTTCTTTTGAGAATCGTTTAATATTTTATACTCAGACAGTTTAAATTCAACAGTGATATTCTGAATAGTTGCCAGTGTCCTCTCTGTCTCCTCCTCAGGCACGTTTACCTCCCTCACTCTGTTTCTGTTCACGTCTAACCTTCTGGTCGGAGAAACATCAGAAGTCTCCCCGGGGGACAGGAAGTCTTCTCTGTCTTTGCAAACGAGCCTCTCTGCTTTCATTACAGAGCTTTAATATACAGCTACAGGAGGAATCACTCTCAATATCTAAGGTCTATCTTAGGCCCTCCACTTGTTTTCAATTGCAATGAACATCTCTACTGCTGTGCTAAGATATAGAATAAGACAAAATAGCCAAACAGATTGTGCAATTACAGCTTACATTTTTGACAGGTACGTTTTTTTATATCAAATTTCATACATGCAGGCTATTTGATATGCAATACAATACAGCTTTATTTGTAAAGCACTTTAAAACCTCCAGACCAAAGTGCTGTACAGAGAAATAATTAAATGTGTTCATAAAATACACAAATCACACAGCTCAGCTCACATAGTATAAGAAAGGTAATACAAATAAAAAGGTAAAAACAAAATAATAATGTATACAAATAATAACATACGGCATATAGTAAAAACAATATACCATTTAAAAGCAACAATCTACAAAGTGCTGAACGCTAAGGAGAAGAGAATATATAAGATATACTAAATAGGAGGCATACATAAACTAAAAGGATATAACTATAACAATTATTGTGATCTGTTTTAGCTGCATTATTTTGGGTGAAATTTGTTTGTTTTTTATTATGGAAAGGCAAATAAAAGAGTGAGCAGACAGGGTAGACATAGATATAGTAGACGTGGGAAACAGTCTGCCTGTAGCCATGTAGCTTTCTGCTCATCCATCTTCATGTTTCTTCCTTCTTCTTGCCTAAAACGTGTCTTACTCTGTTGTCTTCACTAAAGCCTCTTTATTTCTCATCATTTTCTATCACTAAACTCAATGTGAAATAGAGCAATATGCCGTTTATAGGAGCTATAAAATGTATTCGTTTAAAACAATTATGTCAAGTTGATGCTTGTATCCAAAGCATTTTGACAAGTGTGACAGCAAACAACCTGGTTACACATTACATTTGAAAGCGTGGATGTCATCAGGGATTTTTCAGACGCATATAAATCTATTAGTATGTTATGTTCTGTTTGAAAGAAATAACCTCTGAGTGTAGGATGGTTGTCAAGGAATCCACACAGGCTTTATATGATTGCATTTCCTAAAATAAATTCTTAGAAAGTAAACAGTAATACAGAAGTCCTGTGGTCTACATTTTCTTTAAAAAGGTTACTTTATTTTAATAAACTAATTATAACACGGTATCCACAGATCTTGAAGACTTTTAAAATGGTAGAACTTCCTCAAAAAGCGGTGAGCCCAGTCAGATGTGTCGCAAACACTTCAAATGTAGGACAGCATTATTTATTTGGGATTGGTCTCAAAAGCCTAAACCATTGTGGATGCATGCTGGATTATAGCAAACACAAACTGTCTTCGGGGCCACTGCCTGATAACTTGAAAAACACCTTGCATCATCGCTTGATAACAACTGTTCTGGAACATGCGAAATGTTTTATTAATTAGCTGTCTCTCCCTCAGGCTGTCGGCCAGCACCCTGTCCTGCTCGTCGGGCAGCAGTCGGGGGTCTCTGACCTCCAGCCGCTGCTCGCTGGCCACCACCTCCAGTCTGGGCTCCACCTCCTCCCTCAGCTTCACCGACATCTACCTGGAGCAGCCCGAGCTGGCCGACCCGGACTTCCAGAACAAGCTGGACAGCCTGCTGCAGGAGGGGGGGCAGGGGGGCTACCGGCCCTCCAGCTCCATAACCACCATCCACGAACACGAGGTGGTAACAGGCTCCGGAGAGACGCCTGAGGTCAGAGCCGGAGAGGTGGGAGGGGGTCCCGCTGGAGGAGGCGTGGCGGGGGAGTCGGGGTCGTCCAGGATCCAGGCCCTCAGACTGTCAGAGACCCCCCGCTCCATGAGCTCTTTGTCCCCCCGCTCCTCCCTGTCCTCTCTGTCTCCGCCCTGCTCGCCCCTGGTAACGGACACTAGCTTCCTGTCCGGGGAGACGTTCGCGGGCCAGGCGGGGCCGGGGGGGCTGAGCCTGGATCTGGAGCTCCACAGCAGGCTGGCAGAGCTGGAACTCAGCCTGGACTCTCGGGAGCAGAGGCAGGAGGAGAGGGGGGGGCCGGAGACTCAGAACCACAACACAACACTGGGCGAGGAGGTCAAAGGTAAAGAGACGTCTTTTTTATTCAAAAGGTTCACACACTAGTTTCCAGTTCATCTCAAACGTTTTAGAATGTGAAGCAAAACACAATCTGTACAAAATACAGGACAATATTATTTATTTGGGGTTGGTCTAAAAGTGTATTCTTTCTTTTTTGATTCAACACTTTCACACACTTGTTTCCAGTTCATCTTAAAAAAAAATTCAGGGTTTTTTTCAGGGTTCTTTGCAGACATGTCGAGTTAGAGGAGAAGATGCTTTGTTCTTCTTCTGTGTGCAAATTCCCCTATTACAAGATGCATTAGATAGATGGATAAATACTTAATACATCCCAAATTGAGCAATTATTAAGTTACTAATATTGAAAAGATAGAATAAGATATGAATATAATAGAAAATTAACATTAACAACAACAAATATATATGCATATTCATAGTATAAAATGTATCACTAGAGTATCCAAATAATACACCATATAAAGAAAATACTGAATACATTTGAATACTGTGCAATAGACATTTCACTAAGCAAAATATCTCAAATCTAGACGGGAGACATTATACACATTATAAAATGTAAAACAAAATAAAAGCTACATTTCAAGAAGCTGCATGTCCTGACAGTGAGGAATGATCACAATGAGATACATATATATACTGTACATGGATTGGTGCTGTTGTTGCAAGCTTACTTAAAGAAGTTGCTGTCCTTCATAATTGTTGTATTATTATACATCTGTTCTTCACCAAGCTGTGAAGCCTGTTTGTGCTGTGTGGATAATGGCACTGTCAGGAAAAGAGACGACCACAATCTGTCAACACAAAGTAGAAAGCCCACTGTTGTCTAAACATCTGCAGCTGTAGCATTAGATATGCCTCTCATTGTGACTGAAGAGCCTAAACCACACAGAAGACTAAAGTGTTTGTTTTCAGGGGGGAGGTCTTCCAAACAAACAGAGATACAAAGCCTTGTCATTAAACTTGGGAGGGACTTTTATCCTCACAGCAATCATTTCAAATCTCAACAGCAATAAAAGGATGTGTGCATAACAACTCAGCAGCGCTCTAATGATGATCCCAGTTCATATCAGGAGAACCATAACAGTGATGAAGTGTCTGCATGAGACATGGAGAGAGGCTGCTGGTGTAACGGCTGTATCTCCGTTACACCAGACCTCAGAGAAAACACTCCAACTTTATTGGAAAGCAGCATACAAGGAATCCTGTGTGTGTGTGTGTGTGTGTGTGTGTGTGTGTGTGTGTGTGTGTGTGTGTGTGTGTGTGTGTGTGTGTGTGTGTGTGTGTGTGTGTGTGTGTGTGTGTGTGTGTGTGTGTGTGTGTGTGTGTGTGTGTGTGTGTGTGTGTGTGTGTGTGTGTGTGTGTGTGTGTGTGTGTGTTGAGAAATGTGATAGTGTGTGAAACCTGACTGCTGGTGGGAGCAACGATGAGAGGGGGAGTGGAGGTGAGGAGGTGTAGGATTACGGCTGCTGGGGGGGTGTGTGTGAACGTGGTATTTATCCCTTAGGTTTTGTGATATTTTCTACATTTCAAAATACAATAAATTGGAATTAAAATATTTCTATAAACATAAGAAGTTAAAGTAAAAAATGTGCCATAAGAATATGAAATCAAAATATGTATTACCATAAGAAGTTCAAATGTGAACATTGTACCGTATAACAACAATACATATGAAAACTATTTATATTGCAATAAATACAGTGGTGTATAGAATTAATAAACATATCGACATTCATACAAAAATATACAAATAGTAGGGTTTAAAGAGCTAAAAGTATATTAATTAAACTGTTATTGATCCACAGACAATGAATGGACAACATTGTTGATATTGGTCCTCATTAAACAAGCACACAACAATATTTATTAGGATTTAGTTTTATCATTGTAAACTGAAGGTCCTTTTTCTGTAAGTTAGACAAAGCAACATATTAAAAGCATGCTAAATTAGCTTTCAGCCGTTCCTGTTGGAAGTGTACCCAGGACAGGATCGATAGATTACCCTGAAACCTAAAATAACCTCCATGTGTATCGTTTCACCCAAAGATGCGGCTGCAACTGAAATAAATGAAAACTGCATGGTGGTTGTAATGTGGGTGAGGGTCAGGGGGAGTTTGAAGCGGGCTCTCAGCCGCTGTAGCAGCAGAACGTGACTCAGGTTCTGGTTGCGTCGTCGGGTGAAAGGTGGTCCTGGGGTCCGGTTTCCTCTTCACGCTCCGTCACTGCTGCCAGGACTCAACATGTGCCAACACTCAGTCTTCACAGCCAGGCCAGGAGATTCAAGGATTCAAAGATTCCAAAGCTTTATTTACATATGACCAATAGCTGCAGATAATTTTGCCAACCTTAGGATGAGGATTTTTCAGTGTTGTGATAATATATAAATAAATAGGAAGACTGTAGAAACAGCACCTTACCATGGTAGAGAGGTTTGTGTGCCCTGATGAACCTGGGGGCTGTGTTGTCTGGAACCTTGTGTTCCTGGTAGGGTCTCCCATGGCAAATTGGTCTCAGGCAAGGGGCCAGACTAAGATTGGTTCAAAAGACCAGTGAGGGAACAATGGAGCGTGAGATGGGCCGGAGAATCGGAGCAGCGGGAGCTGTACTGCAGTCGCTTTACCGCACCGTTGTGACGAAAAGAGAGCTGAGCCAGAAGGCAAAGCTCTCTGTCTTCCGGGCCATTTTTGTTCCTACCCTCACCTATGGTCATGAAGGATGGGTCATGACCGAAAGAACGAGATCACGGATACAAGCGGCCGAGATGGGTTTTCTCCGCAGGGTGGCTGGTGTCTCCCTTAGGGATAAGGTGAGAAGTTCAGTCATCCGGGAGGGACTCGGAGTTGAACCGCTCCTCCTTCGCGTTGAAAGGAGCCGGTTGAGGTGGTTCGGGCACCTAGTTAGGATGCCACCTGGGCGCCTCCCTAGGGAGGTGTTCCAGGCACGTCCAGCTGGGAAGAGACCAAGGGGTAGACCTAGGACCAGGTGGAGGGATTATATCTCTTCGCTGGCCTGGGAGCGCCTTGGGATCCCCCAGTCAGAGCTGGTTGATGTCGCCAGGGAAAAGAAAGTTTGGGGCTCTCTGCTGGAACTGCTACCCCCGCGACCCGACCACGGATAAGCGGGAGAAGATGGATGGATGGATGGATGGAAGACTGTAAACATATGTAAACAGTAAAGCTGTGCACACATCAACAGTGTCCATCCTTATATAAACCATACATGTGTTAAGATCAGTAGCAATAAGTCAATTTTATTCAGGTAAACCATTATGTTAGCAGCCATTGTGACATCACAATTCCCTTCTACAAAGGCAGGCGGTTGTTCATTGTTTACACTGGAATCCCTAACAAAGCAAGGACAGCCTAATTACATATCAGAGCATAAAACAAACATATTGTAACTGTAGGGCGTACACAGGGTCCGTGGTTTAGCAAATACTTTGAGCTGAATTGCTGAGGTTTACTGTCTTTGGTTTCAAATCTCTTTCTCCATTTGTCAGTCCAGAGACATACATGCATATTTGTTTTAAGCAGATGAATATGACATTAGATGAAGTTATGTTTGATGAAACCTTGTGATACTCTTTTGTTGAAACAAATGTATGCTTCACTCCGCTGCAATGTGACATTCTTAAATTCCCCAAAAAGTACAATTACTATTTTAGGCCAAGTTAACATAATCTGTTTATGTACCATTCAGTTTATATCAGGTCAGAAAAAGTTCTTAAATAGTACTTACTTTATTTTTTGGTTCTGATGGAAGACCATGTTAGGTTGGATATCACCAGCCTTATTCCTAATAGACACATCAACTGGAAATCAATAAAAGAAAAACATTACATTTAGCCATATCCTCACCTTGTATCTTTCCTCTTGTGTCTTCAGACTCGGCCCCCGAGCTTCAAGGGACGGGGGCGGGGCCAAAGAAGATGGGCGTGACCTCAGCGGTGTCTGACGAGTCGGTGGCAGGAGACAGCGGCGTGTACGAGCCCTCGGAGCGCAGGTACGAAGAGCTGTTACTTACAGCTTATGTTGTGAGATAAACACCCTGGATGGTGTCCTTTCATCTGATGTTTTACATCTTTATATTTCAACATGAGTCTTTAAGCACAATCTGGGCATGTAGGGTAGCGCTGTGCGTTTTTTATATTTTTGAACAAATTCCTACATATTGATATTGCACTGAAGGACTGTAGGGTGCTTTTACATGATATTTACAAAATGAGATTGTTGATGAATAAACATCAATGTTGTGGATATAATGATTATGTGGGTAGAGGCACATTATAGAACAGTCTGGCGAGTTAAAGGCCTTTTTCTTTTTACTTAGCCTTCAAAAACCAGGAAAAGATGATCCAACACGATATCAACCTCATATCCTTATATGAATATAATAAAGAAACATTGCCCAGCTCTAATACAGCATATATTTCATTAAATATTTGTTAAATTTCAACTATTTGTTCACATTTTCAGTGTTAAGAATACTTCTGAATAGAGAACTTGTAACACCATACCTTTACCCTGACGTTAAATTCTCAGTTGCCATGATATTTCATCAACAGTGTGTGTGTGTGTGTTCCCTGCAGGCCGGGCCTCCCTGCTGACCTGCTCCTCGGCTCCTATGACGAGCGGCTGGCCCTCGGCTGCTCTCAGGTGCAGCTGGGCTTCCGCTACGAGTCCAGAGACCAACGCTTCACCATCTACGTCATGCAGCTCTCCAACTGCAGCGCCCTCTGTCTGCCCGCTGACCAGAAAATGTACGTCCTTTTACCGCTAGATTACATTACACTTCGTTTATCTGAGGCTTTTATCCAAAGCGACTTACAATAAGGACAATAAGGATGCAAGCTCAGAACAGAAGGAAAAATGCAGGTACATTCAGATAAGACAAACCATTGGGAATGTTGGTACAGAGCTTATTGATACAAGCTTTCTGTTTGTTCTTCTAACTGTTGGCTTGTGTTCCTTTATGTCTGTTCATTTAAACCTAAATGACTCACTAAGCAGCTCATTTGATACTTTCATCTTCCCTTTACATTTCATATTTGCACTTTTCTACATATACAAAAAATTGTTCTTGAATTTGTTTGTACATCATCCATCAAATGAGCTGCTTAGTGAGTCATTTAGGTTTAAATGTACAGACATAAAGGAACTAAAGCCACCAGTTAGAAGAACAAACAGAAAGCTTGTATCAATAAGCATTTTGTACATTCAGATAATGACACCGTTATGCATGAGTGGGTTAAACAGACACGGGTGGAGAGTTTAAAGTGTACTTAGTGTTTAGTTTCTAAACTGGGGGCGTGTCCTGTTCGTTGCCTGCAGCCCGGTGTGTTTGCCGGCTCCACTGACTCTAGATGTGTGTCTGTGGGCCGTCTGGTTATGTTTACACTGGAAAAGTGGTGCCTGTGCAACCAATTAACCTACGTCAACACATTAAAACATGTGAACACATTGTTTCTGCAGATATGTGCGTGCGGTGGTGCTGCCGTGCGCGGAGGCGTCCCGCTGCCTCTTCAGGACGCGCGGCTCTCTGCCACAGGACGTGGTGGAAGTCAACGAGGTGTTTGGCATGCAGATATCCCACAGTGCTTTGCGGCAGAAGACACTGAGGGTCGACATCTGCAACACCAGCAAGTCGGGCCATGAAGAGTGTCTGGTCAGTAGGAGGTTTTGAATCTGGAACGTAGAGTAGTCATTTGATTCAAGGTTTAATCATTAGCTGTTACAGCTTCAAACACAATTGTATATTATGAATCTATTTCCCATTCAAAAGGAACTTGAGAGACTATGGCTACTTAGTGTTACATGTTCACACGCTGTTGTTGTAAGGGAACTCAGTTTAATATCATTATAGCATCAGACGGGTAATTGCCTGTCAGCTGGTGACTTGTAAGTGTTCAGGAAAAACATTCAAAAAGGATGACATTTATAATGACACTGAATACAATAAAACAAGTAAAGAGAAAGTAGCACAACTGATTAACTGAATATTAAACGCTTAAAAAAATGTAACAAACGTAACTTTAAAAAGTTTACTTTAAAACAACAAAGGAATCAAAGAAAATGTTGGATAGGAAGACTTTCAAAGTACCTTACACAAAACTTATGTGGCATGTTGAAATTCCTATAAAGTCTGCATTGTGTGTGTTCCACTGTATTAAAATGCAACGATGGAAATACTCACAGGAGAATCAATCGCTGTGCCGACTCATTTCATTGTTTTATGGTAAACACAAAAGGAAGCAAACCAAAAGTGCAGAAATCTCTGAGCAGACACGCTGCGTTGTTCCAGATGTTTCTGAAACTTTAACACTCCTCCATCTTTCCTCCCCCCCCCTGCAGGCGGGAGCCCAGATCAGCCTCGCTGATGTCAGCTGTTCGGAGGAGAAATGCACCAAGTGGTACAACCTGCTGAGTCGCGCCTACATGCCTGAGATCAGCAGCAAGGACAAAGAGAGCCGAGCGGCCGGCAGCACTGACAGGGTGAGGAGGCCGGGGTTAAATAGTTTAGTCGGGTAGAAAATCTTAAGGTATTTAACACGCCCCCTAGTATATTCTTCTCTGAGTCTTAAATGGTCAGTATGTTAAAATGTTTGTAATGAAGCAATATATATAAGAGTAAACATAAAGACAAAATAATCCAAATTGGTAATAAGACAACAAATCAGGTTTCAGAATCAGAAGTCCTGTGAGGAGGCTTTACAGTGGAATCCAGGAGGCAAAGCTACCATTTAATGCGGTTCAGTAATTATTACAAAAATGGTTTAAAAAAGTATAAAGTGAATTTGCTGCTGTCTAGATTAGTGCAGCCAGTGTTTCCTATTTATCAAACCAGAGTAACATAAAAAAAATTGTTTTATAACTCTCAATAACTTTTCTGTGGGTGCAAATATTTTCTCTAATGTGTAGTTAATATCTAATTGAATGATGAGCTTTTCCTCTGTGCTGTTGCAGCTCTGTTAATGGTTTTGGAAAAATTGTTTGCATTAAATAGAAAGTGTCGTTAAACGGCGCCATAGAATACTGTCTGAAATGGTCGGTGTGACTACATTTTTGGGATGTGTGAAGACATTCCCCAGATTTAACAGTGTCAGTTTTAAAAAGAAAGTAAACATAAAACAAGGGAATCCAAATGGGCACCAAAACAAACATTTACTTATTTGACATTAAGTGGAATATTGTCGCAGATTGGGGAAACTAACATTGTTACAGCAAAAGGGACAGTTCAGAAAAAGACAAATAAAACGGGTGCACCAACCAAATAAAATGTAAATCTAGAAAGAACATCCAAGGTTTAAAAGTAAGTAGTATCATTATAAGAGTTAATGAACAGCTTATAATACAGTCACATAACAACACTTTAAATGTGGTAATGTACAGTTGTTTGGTCCTAATGTGTGTGTGTCTGTGTGTGTGTTTGTTTGTGTGTTTGTGTTTCAGCCTCGTGTTTCCAACAGTGACAGAGTGAGAGCTCCTGAGGACGATGAATGGTGAGTGTTTCTCCTTCCGTCATCAGTTTTCCTATTTATTCCCTCTTTCACTCCTACTTCTGAGCTTCAATCGACCTTTTCCTTATTTTCTTTCCCCTTTTTTATCTTTGCAAGCTTTTAGCAACATTTATCAAATTTTAAGCATCAATTTCTGGATCTTAATTATACAATCTCTGTTAGCGCACCATTTAACTGCATCATAAATGTAGCTAGACATAGCTTCCTTCATACATCAGACAGTTTGGAACTGGACTCTAGTGATGCTGGTTTATTACTGAGCGTTAACTGATGTCATCGATCAACATCATTTTCATTTCTTACAGTGTATGCAAATATTTGTAGTGTTTGCAAACCTTATGTTCTTACACTTACGTCGAAAATAGATCAGCTACGTATTTTTAGCAGAGCCCAGCGCCGAGACGCTTCTGGGACGCTTCTGAGCCGTAACGCGGCGCGTCTGGTGGAATAGCACCCATTGACTAGAGTGGCCGCGATCGCGGTGAACGCTGCGCAGGCGGACCCGGTGGAATCAAGGGGTTAGAGATGATCTGTACCACTTTACAGGCAGCCGACAGTTCACAATTGTTTTCATTGCACACACACACGCACGCACGCACACACACACACACACACACACACACACACACACACACACACACACACACACTCACACACACGCATGCACACCACACACACACTCCACGCACACACACACACACACACACACACACACACACACACACACTCTCACACACATACACCTGTCTTCTTTCCCAGGAAGGAAGGAATTAGACCACCTAGTAATCTTCCTTTCACATGCAAATGTTCTCTTCCTCTTCATTCACTGTATATAGTTATCAAAGTATACACTGTAGAATATAATGCATATAATATGTTTAAGTTTTCTTAGTTCACTTTTATATAATTCACCTGTGTACAACCTATTTTACCTCTGTTTTCTATATGTTAAGTGCTCATGGGTACACAAATATAACTACAAATATCTAATAAAGGATGGTAAATAAAAACTGTAAAACATCCTGCAACAGTGTTAGGGCTGAGTACAGTTAGGAATGTTTTGTATCTTGCACGGATATGATGGAAAACAACAAGGAGTTTTGAAGTGATACCAGAGCACTACTAATCTGAGCAGTATTTATCCCTACCAACGAGAGTATGTGTTTGTTGTTGTCAGGCATGGTGACCCCCTGGACATCTTTGACGATGAAGAAAGAAATGGCGTGGAGGGGGTGGAGCCTGAAGAGGAAGAGTTTTATACTGAGAGCAGCCAATGGGAAGCAGAGGAAGAGGAAGTGGCGGTGAAGGAGATCAAACCTCCTCCTTATCGTGCACCAGTCATCACCGAAAAGGTAACTTAGAAAAGGTTCATGTTTACATTATTTTACCCTCCAGGGGAAAATGTTGTAACACACAGTACAATACACACACAGGAATAGTACTAGACTTATACACATTATATCTGAACACATACTGTTCTAACAACCATACAGAGAAAATGCATCAAAAAAGAGGCTAAGAGGAAAAATAAATGTCTCCCAAGAAATACAATGATATGCTCTTCTCATTGTCATGTTGTACTTCCTTTTTCTTCTGACGTCCTTTTAAATTAGGCCCTTCCTGTTTGTGTCCTGGGTGGAGCTGTTTAAAACATGTCAAAAAATACTTTTAGTTTCGGGTGCAATAAATTGTCTAGTATAATAAGCACTTTATTTCTTTGTTCAGTATTGGACAGTTTATATTGATATACTCTTGTATTCTTTTTCTAGGTGAACAAAGAGACGAGCATGGACAACTTGTCCCACCACAGCTCGGTGGTCCGACCTAAGGAGCGCCGGCCAGACGTCCACCAGCAGAACCCCTTCATGAGGGGCAACACCATCATCCGCTCCAAGACCTTCTCCCCCGGACCCCAGAGCCAGTACATCTGCAGGGTAACTGAGGACCTGCAGTACAATAAAACAACAGGACATCAGGCCGAGAGAAAAAACACCCTTTTAACTCCCTGTCGTGAATGAACATCTCCCTCTGCTGTTTTCTAGATAAATCGCAGTGACAGCGACAGCTCCACCCTCTCCAAGAAGTCTCCGTTTGTCAGGAACGCCTCGGAGAGAAGAAGCATGCGCATGAAGAAGGTATAAATACATATGATAAATAATACTTGAATGTCAGATATCACAGCAGCTCCATTTGCAACATCAACAAGGGAAAATACAAAGACACAAGATAAGAAAACAGACATTTTACTTTACATCACAATCACTGAAGACAACATGTCCAAGACCCTCTGACGTACATTTGACCTGGGATTTAACTCTGTATTTAATTTCAGGATTAACTGGGGCACAAAAGAGTGCTTCTGTCTAATTGTATTTCATCGTTGGACCCTGTATCTCCCAACAATTAATATTCACTGTTCAGAACATGGTTGGGTTCAGAGATGATGTTGTTATGGTAGGCTGACCCATAGAGTCTGTCACAAATCTTTGAGCCGATTTTAAACCAGTGCAGCAGTTTTGACTGTTAGCCGGTGGAGAAATGTTTTACAATGTCGTATTGCAGAACTGTCAATATTGCAGATGTAAAAAAAGAATGTGTCTACTCGCCTCGAAAGACCTTAGGCGGTCATCCTCACTCCTGTCTCCTCGTCGCTCGATCTCAAAAGCAAAAACGTTTTAGCGCAGTTCATGTGTCAGACTCCCCATAGTGTTAGTGTTCTGTGATGGTAACCGTGTCATGAGGTAATGACAGTGTTATTGATTGTTGCCATGACATGACAGACTTCCCCCCCCCCCCCAGAGGTTCAGAGGAGTTAACATTGAAGTCCAGTCACTTATACCTCAGTACGCCTCACTGCAGCCTCACAGATCTAACCACCTGCAAGTTTACCGAGCATGAACTCCTTCCTCCAGAGAGGGAGACAGGGGGAGCCTATTTGTATTTTCAGAGCCCTAGAGCCGCCTGACAACTCTCCGTCAAGTGACTCTTAATATTTAATAACCGTCTGAATGTTTAATGCAGCTCTGACATTTTCCAGCTCATATTAATTTAGCAGCAGCGGAACATCTCCGTGGTGGAAATCCACATCACACATCGCATGCTGGTGACAGTGTTTGCAAATCAATTAAAACTGTTACTGTACACCCAGGTGACGGTTAGGACTTTTGCAGGCATACATATAACATAAATTAATAAATACATCTCTGTCCTCATCAAGACAGTGATGAGTAAGAAAGTAATGATATTAGAAAAGAAAAAAGTGTTTTGTGTTCAATGAAATTCAAATAGCTTTATTGGCATGACCATAATGACAGATACAGTTTTGCCACAGTGAGCTTTGCACAATTATGAAATCTTTTCATAAAAATGTTGAACCAAAGCAAGAATAACACATTTTCTTTACAGGGAAAACAATATACTTTTTGAACAGGAACTAGAAAATGTATTTTAAAAAAACTTTAAAAACTATAGAAAAAAGTTAAGATGAGTTATCGATTATTGTGCAGGATAATTCTGATAATAAATTCATATAATACATTTATATTCTTTCACAGACTGAGTCAGGGATTACAAAAATGGTAACTTGTTTGTGGCGTCAGTATTTGCAAATAAATTCAAATTGTCACTGCTTTTTTCTTTTCTTTTCTTTTTTCTTTGCAGTGCGTGATGAGTTATAAATACATTATATTAAAAAAGGAGTGTTATTTTTGCATTAATGGCCTTCACTAACACCCATAGGGAGGGCCATGTACCCAATACCTGAACTAATTGTTTCTAGCAGCCGTAGTGTTTGTGTCTTGAGCCTCTGCATCTCTTACCTGTGCTCCCCCCTCAGCCCCCGGTGCCGGTGAAGGGTCTGGACGGCCTGCTGAGGACGTCCCTGGACCTGGAGCTGGACCTGCAGGTGTCGCGGACACGGCAGACGCGGCTGGCTCAGGAGCTGCGGGTGCTGCGGGAGCTGAAGACGCAGCTGGAGACGGCCAGGCAGCGCGGCCAGAGGGAGCTGCCCGCCTGGGTGCAGGAGGACGAGCGCTTCCGCATCCTCCTGAGGCAGGCCGAGAAGCAGGTGAGGGGACGGGGGTGATTCATGTCTGTCTGCCCGTGTGCTATGGGCAGAGGTGGGAAGTAGTGGAGTACAAATACTTCGTTACTGTACTTAAGTACATTTTTCTGGTATCGGTACTTTACTCCACTACTTATTTTTCTGACGACTTTTTACTTTCTACTTCTTCAATTTTTAACACAAATACCTGTACTTTATACTTCTTACATTTTCCAAACAGGCTGGTTCCTTTAGTTTTAACCTGTGTTTGGTGGCATGATCATTATTATTTACAGTCATTGTGTGCCTAGTGATTTGAACACGATCTGTGTATCCATCATTTCCTGGTCTTCTCTAAAGAAGAGTGACCAATGAGAACTCGGCTCGATTATTGTTCTATTAATATAAAGTGAGGTCAAGTTACCAGTTACTCTATAAACAGTTGGTACTGTAGTTATGGGTACTTTTTACTTGAGTACATTTCGAAGCCCATACTTCTTTACTTTTACTTGAGTAAAGAAGTTTAGTCAGTACTTCTACTTTTACCATAGTATTATTAAACACCAGTATCTGTACTTCTACTTGAGTAAAGGATGTGTTTACTTTTGCCATCTCTGGCTATGGGCCAGATATGTGCTGTTACGTTAACAACATATCGTGAAATATACAGACATAAACTGGGTTCGTTTGTAACCGCCTACAATTCAAAACATCACATAAAAAATATTTAGGTTACCTATTTATTAAATATTCAAATGAAACTACATAATTAATTGATGGTACGACAAGTAGACACAAACTTGTTGTTTTTTATCTTGTGTGTGTATCATGTGCTGTGTCTTGTGTTAGTATTATATGGACACGGCCTCAAAACATTTTACGTTTTTAACTCAACACACAATATATGGACATGACCTGATATATTTTGAGTTTATCGATATATCATATTACAAACTGACATTTCTAACTATTCACTATTTGATCATTATATCAGTTGCATACAATGTTCTTAAAATTCAAAACATTTAAATATCCTGGGAAAATATATCATTAAAAAAAAGTGGACATTTTTGCTGATGCTCTAGTTTTCTTATCACACGCTTTAGTCCTCTATTAGACACTTTTCTCTGTAAATAACGAAGAGCAGATTTCACTATGGTCCTGTGCTCTTGCTCCTGTTCAGACTTGTGAGGAGCAGCTACACGAGAAGCGGGTGGAGAAGATGATGAGAGCGGCAGCCAAGGACGTCCACAAGATCAGAGGCCAGAGCCGGAAGGAGGTCCCCGAGGTGCAGACCTTCAGGTGGGACACGCAACCAGACAGATTCCTGAAATACGAGACTCTCCATAAGAGCACAGACAAAATACCAGAGACACATATGTGACCTGCTCTATTGAAATCAGTCGTATTGACCCGAAGACACATTTTGAGTTGTATACACTGTTGGAAAGAGGAGATTCCGAGCTTTCTAATGATATCAGGATTGATCCAAATATTAAGCAAAATATGTCACATTATATAATGACTATCACCGAGTCATCATTTTGAGGAAAAGTCCTTCAAAGTCTCCTCTTCTCTGGAATCCATCGATCTGATTGATTAGCGGAGCAAATGATCAAAATACTATGGAGGGAAGATATTTTCGTTTGGCTTACTGGTCGGGGGGAAGCTCACGAGTGTTACGTGTGTGTGTGTGTTTGTGTAATTTTGCGTTTGTGTGTATTGTGTTTGTTTCCCGGGGAAAACCCTCACGAGAAACACCGGCTGTTGTTATGCCTGCTGTGACGTTAAGTTACTCCGTTCTCCGCTTGTAATTATGCCGTCACAAGCTTCAAAGCTGTATTTATCATCTGAATTTGCCGAAACAAGTTTAATATTCTGAAAGCCAAGACTTTGTTTAATTGAAACCAGATGAAAACAAACTGTAACGGACCCTGCCGTGTTATCTATGATTACTCTACTCTTACATTCATAATGTCAGCGGAGGGAGAGGGGGCGGCGCTGCGGAAGAGCAGATTGCGAGTGAGAGGTGCCTGTCATCTTCCCTTTACAAGCTTCAAAAATGTATTTATCGTGTGATTTTGGAAATAAAAGTTTCATATTCTGAAAGCCAAGACTTTGTTTGTTTAAAATCAAACAAAACACCCGAACCCCTCGTTTTTTACGCAAATCCACGTTTATTTTGAAATGAGCCGTTGCGACTTCCGACCATACTTGCCAACCTTGAGACCTCAGAAATCGGGAGCATTTCAAAACCACCGCGGGGGGGGGGGGTGTTAGTGGATCATCGCCGGAGCTGTATTAGATTAACATTAACATGCTTATTGTAGTGGTAAGTGCACTGCCTTGCGGCCTGTAGCACCATCCTTGATGGAGCATAGGGCTGGACCTGTATTTACAGGAAAGGAGTGAGCAGAGGGTCGAGTTGTCGATTCTTGTTCTGTTTTCTGTGACTATCTTCCTCACCCTCTCAGACTTTCAGCTGCGCGCGATACTAAAGAGACGCGTTACCATGGAAACCAAACAATGGTGTAGCTGTATTAAAGTCCGAGTGGAAACAGTCCTGAATAAATCTGATTTTGTCAGAAATCGGGAGAAATGCGGGAGAAATATGACCCCGGGAGGAAACCGGGAGAGGGCAATAAAATCGGGAGTCTCCCGCGAAAATCGGGAGGCTTGACAAGTATGCTTCCGACTGATTTCGATAGAGCGGGTCACATATGTGGTCAGATCTCCTCAGCAGACAGAATGTGTTCAAAACGGCTCAATATAAAATAGGCCCCTTAAGAAAGCACTTTACAGCTGCAGTGAAGCTACTTACTCCCCTTCTTAATGCATTTTAGAAGCTATAGTATGTCAGACAGGAGGAGCCAGAGGAAGGAGTTTGATGTGAGAATATGTTCTGCACAGAGATGTTCATAGGCTGGGACAAATACGTTTATTGTGTCTCCTGATACACAACCAGGTTACTTCTGATTTTTGGCGGTTCAACCTTTTTTGTGGTGGTGGCTGTTTTAATATGTGACTGCCGACTAACATGTTGTGAAAAAGCAAAGTGTGCTTCGTTATGCTTAACGTTATTCTTATTTGAAAAGTATTTACTGATTTTAGCAATATTATTTCTGCATTTAAGAGGCCTTTTTGTATTCCCTATTCACCCTGTATCATGATATAATGTAGAAGATTATTATAACAGCATTGCATTCTAACTTTATCTAATTTATATCGAAGATCTCTTTGTATAATTTAGTGAGGAATCCTATCAAACACATTTTTATTTCACATATTAATTAGATTGTGATTGTGTTCCCCAAGCTACTTGAGAAAAATGACCTTTATAGAAACAAGATCATAAACTATCTAGGAGCTTAGAATAACTAGATTTCATTTCTTTATTCAGCTTTAAAATGAGGATTTGTTTTAGAACCATACAAATATAAAACACATATCTTTCAATCCTCAATTATGAAACAAGACAGTCAGACAGGAAATGATGTCATATATTCAGAGTAGACAGAAACAGTATAATTACAACATAGTGAATAAACTGACAACAGCAGCTGAAAAAAGAACGAATTACAGTATTTGAATGAAACTGCTTTACAGTTAGAGCCACTTTCAAACTAAATCTCCATGTTAGCTGTGTCCTTGTGTTGACCTCTAACTGTCTCCTGTGTGTTTCAGAGAGAAGATGGCGTTCTTCACTCGAGCGAAGAGCAACATCCCCGATCTGCCGGCTGACGACGTGTAGAGAAGCATTTCAAAGTATTTCCTCCTCGAGTCTTAACCTGCTGTTCCCATTCAAATGAAGCAAATGTTTGGCGGTGTTATGAAGAATTTAAACAAACAATATTAATAATGTGTTTAGTAGAGAAAACACTCAAAACCGTGAAGAAACACATTTTTAAAGAGCTCAGCATTTTTAATGTGGATAGTCTATGTTTGTAAATTAGTGATAGCACACAAGCTTTTCTTTTTTTTTAATTATTATGTCACTCTCTTCCACTTTGTTTTGTGTTTCTGTTACTAACAGGCTGTTTATAGGTGTGTAACATCATTCCAGCACAACGTCACAAAGCTGCATACTGTATGTGCATACAGAGTTTTGTACTGAAATGACACATTTAGACACGAACATATATAAATGCATATTGACAGCACAAAACAATGGTACTAAAGCTGATGATAAATAGCAGAAATGGATATCTTAATGTAAGAGATATTTAACATTGATTTTCAAGCAATGTGTTTTTGTTTTTTTAAACTATAGACAGCACAGATGTTTGTATATAATCCTCATCAGCATGCATCATTTACAACACACACAACAACACAAGAGGAAAACTGGAGCGAGTCTTTGATTTACAAACGTTACCAAATGAACTGGATTTGATCATTTAGGAGGCGACATTCTTCTCATTTTAGGTCGAAAGTTAAACGATTGTCTCTCACCAGTTACGCTCAGCAAAGTGTACAAACAGCACTAACTCTCACTAGCACTCAGGTAGTTGATCGGATAGTCCGCACTTTAAGAAACTTGAGATAAAAGTTAAAAAGAAAGGAAAAAAAAAGTGGGTTTTTGGAAAAATCTATAAAATCCAAAAACCTTTGCCTCGAATGCGCTGGAATGATTGTTAAATGTTGAAGCACACAAAGATTGTCAGACAGGAAGATCAGATGTATTTTTGAAGACTGTGAACTATAAGAGTTTTAACTTCAGACTTCCCTTCCCTCGAACTGGATGTTTTGGATACGCTCTGTATCTAAAGTCGCTCTCATGCCTCTTACAACTGGATGTTCTGCAGCTGATATGTAAAATGTAAGCATGGTGCCCCAGCAAAACTGAACACATCAATTCCATCCTTGTATCTTTAAACTAGCTATGGTTTAAAAGACTATGTATTGTTATGCTGCCCCCAAGAGGCCAACAAAAATGCAGGTTTTTAATTCCTACTTCCTGTTTCCTGCTCTTCAACTGACCCAAAATAATTGTCAGAAGATAAAGCAACATGTTTAATTGCAGGAGGTTTGCTTAAATCAAACCACCCTTTTGAGGAATGTCGAAATACAGGTTTTAAGGTTTTCTTAAGTTTTTCGATTTAAGTTAAATTCAACACAAAAACCAAATAGTCTTATTTATCAATAAACAGGTTCATGTGCAAGTAACCTTTGTTAGCACTGCTAGTATTGCTGCTTTCCTGTGGGTGCAACATGTAAAAAGAATATTCTGAAACAATTGGATTTAGAGTTAAATAGATAATGGGTTAAAGTGTCACTTCAGGTATTAAAACTGTCTAAAATATATCAAATGTCCTAATTATAGAAGATAATGACATGCTAATTTGGACAAGGGTCTAATTAGTAGTTCCAACTTCATCTGTTCATCATTCATCTGTTATATTTTGGCACTTGCGTAGTAACATGTGTTGGCTATCAGAGGAGGCGGATATTTCCCTCGATGCTTTGAGTGCAGAACGTCTTTTATCGGTACGTGCAGAGCGGCTCTTAATCCTCACCTCTGGCATGAAGTCAGTTCACTGTTTGTGCTCTGGCGATGTGATTTATATTCAGCTCAGTGAGGACTTACGATGTCTAACTCTGTTTCCAAGGCAACCGGATTATAAATCAGCAGCGGACCTCGACTATTGGTTGGTGGCTCTTTGTGGAAGTACCTGAACGATGAGCAGCTGTTGGCGCTTTATTCAACATTTCAACGGTGCTAAAACAAAACTCCTACGGCGATAAATCACTTTTTTTGTTGACATATTTTAATATTTGAAATCTTTGCTCATATAGAAGACATGACTCTGATGTATTTTAAGCAGATTTGATATTTATAATGAAGAAACCCCACTCCAAAATTAGTAGAATGCACCCACTGGCACTAAATCATTTCACATTTTCAATATGATGGATTGAAAAACTAAGTCAGTTCCGTTTTAATTTTGTAGCACTAAATCATATTGGCACTCAAACTACAAAACAGTTGATGGAGGACCAAAAAAAATGACAAAATATCAAAGAAGGTCGGACACCATTGTAGAGCAGCAAATCGGATCAGGAAAAATAAAGAGTGACAAAAACAAGGATTTGTACTTGTATAAAAGTGGCAAAATCATGTGTTTTTCACGCACTCTTGGGGTTATATCATTGACAGGACTTCAGTCTTAAAGTGGATCTGAAGTTTCTTAACCTGTGACTTTTGGAACAAATGACTCGCAGACTTTCAGCGCCGTTATGCTCAGTGTTCCTCTCCTGCTGGGTCACCATGCTCTTCATGTGTTGGTACTTTGTATAAGTATCCACCACATGGTGCAATCCTTCATGTTATCATGTCTCAATTCTCAGTGTAAACAGGAATGTCGCTGATGAAAACCTCTGCCGCTGTCATTCCAGATGTTTCTCTGTTTCACTGTTTGTAGGTAAACAGCAGCTCATAACATGCTTGAAAAATAGATCAGATCCAGCAAAGACCTTAAACCTTTGTCTCTTGGTTTATGTGTATGTTTAACACCAACGGAGGGAGTTGATTTTTCTTGTTGGCTCTTTCCACTTTCTGTCCGTTTCCCCCTCATCCCCACCATCCCCCTCATCCCCCTCATCCCCCTCCAATCCTTAAGTTTATCTCCCAAAAGTCCCAACAATTTAAATCAGCCTCGTTTCTGATAATTACATATAGTTTTTAATCCACAAGAAAAAGAACAGGCACAACACATATCCAGTTACTAGTAGGAATATTCACCACACATTCTGGTAAAAGTAGGAATATTTTTTGCACAAGTGTTAATAAGAACAATACATATCACACAAATAGATAACCACAGTTCTTCTCACCCCGTCTAGGAAAACACACATAAAAAACTTGATAGGAAGTGAATGAAATGCTGTGAGGACGTTCACGCTGAGGCTGCGTTCACACTGCAGAGAGGAAGCGTTTTATTCTGGCTGCCTTCAGTCTGAACCGTCCTGTTTCTGAACTAAACATTGAACAACATATTTATACCAAAGATTTAACCCCTGATGCACAAACACATACATAAAGGACTCTGATGTTCTTGTGGCTCAGTGATCCAAATAGTACTTTATCTTTAGATGTGAAAAGTGTATCATCTGCACATATTGGGATCCAACACAATAATAATAATACATTTGATTTATATAGCGCTTTTCCTGGTGCCATAAAGTCTATATTTTCATTTACGATGTATAAATAATACTTTTTATAGAGAATTCAAATATACATTTTAAGCAACAAGGTCATACTTCCCCCACTTTGTAAATAAAAAAGGGTCAAAGAATTGTAAACAAATCTTATAATCCATAACAAAAACCTCCATATTCACCATATATAATTGAATATATACATTTTCCAACAGTGGCATGAAACTTTGGAAACACTAAAAATAATACACTTTTTTGGATTGAAGCTTCTGAACCACAGTTTGAGTTTCTTCTTCTGAGAAACATTTTTAGATAATTATGCATCCTGAATGTGTGAAGCAAAATCCTTTTCTTTCAGCTGTTGACATGATAGCATCTTGACTCATCCCACATGTATTTCTCCCCTCAATTTAACGACATCTAATACACTATAATGCACCACTTTCTCTTTGCTGAATCGCTCTACTGTCACGGCTTAGGGGAGCAACAAACAAGTAGTTTGAATGCCGATCAGACTGTTCAGACTGAAATCATAAAAAGATATGTATTAAATCGAGGAGTAACGATGAAAAACCTCACAATTGTCATGTTTACTTTTTGTGGGAAAGAGTCACATGACAGGTCTGGTTTCCTCGCGCAGTGTGAACGCAGCTCTGAACTCTGACGGTCTGAGGGTTTTACTGTAACGGGATCACTGTGAAATTAATGAAAACCTTTGGAGTTATGTGAGAGTGTGTGCCTTTCGGAGAGCAACCATTGTTTGTTTGTTTGTCTTATATGTCCAAACCTGGCTGCCATGGTGTGATCTGAAGCTGTCAATGTAGAGAAGGGTTTGCATTAATGTTCCTAATGTCAACAGTTGTTTTGTTTTCATCCACTGTAGAGCAGGTAGTTTGAAAGAATAGGACTCTGAGGAACAGTACTGTCTGTCTGTAAGAACTTTGTCATGATCGATTGAATGTTGTTTAACCGCTAAATCAAAAACATTTATATATAACAACATCTGGATGAAGGAATGTAGGTTCTTGGCTACGAGAAATCACAATCATTCAGAGAAAAAAACATGCTGGTAGTCACACGTAATTATTATTTTTCATCATGTAGATTGTGATATAATTCGTTTGTTTTTTGAAGTTCAAGTGCATTTGTTTTCCTTTTATTTGATTATTGTTTTTTCCCCTAATGAATCTGTTTGTATTACGACTGGTGATGAATCTGGTAATGTGTATGGAGGCGGCTATGAGAAACACACAGCATGTATTTATTGCACTTCGTGATTTGGGTGTGCTTTTCCTGTTTTTCTTTTTATCGCGAGAGTCCCGAAAAGCTGTGAATTGTATTCTCAGACACTGTACTATCGACCAGAGTTGTAAATATTTCACCAGCACAAAAAATACCAAACAATATGTTTTGTAGTTTCACAACAAATAAAAAAGTTCTTCTCTTCTAATTTATCGTGTTTTGTAGTACTTTAATGAATGTGTTTCTCAAAACATTTTAAAGTTTTATCAACAAAATATACTTGAAGTATGGAAAGTAAATGTAGTCATGGCGCATTACAATGTTCTCTTTCAGTGTAATACTATTATGTTTTTGTACTATATATATATTTCATTTTAGTGCTGTAGATGTTTAGGTTTGTGCTAATTTGGACTTCTTTATATACGGATAGGGAGTTTAATCTACAGCAATGCCTCATATTCTATAAAATCAGCATATTTCTTTTATCTCTAAAAGTTATATTTTTCAAGAGTTTCTCAAAATATCATAACCTAGCCATGAAAAGTTGGAAAATCTACTCCGGCTTCAGGAATAATTTGTCATTTTGTTTATCAGGTAAATTCCCATTCCACCCATTTGTCATACAGGATTTTCACTGGAAAGAAAGGGAACAAGTGTGTTCTGAAAAGTAGCTAAATCTATCTGATAAATCAGAAGTGTAATTATAACCCGAATCAGAAACAGGTTTATTGCCAAGTAGGTTTACACATACGAATAATTTCCTTTGGTGTACATGGTGCTAAAGAAGATAACATAGCACCATAAATAAATAAAAACTAAAATAAAAAACTTTAAAAACACGATTATACAAATATAGACATATTTACATTACATTTGGATATACTAAAACACTAGCTACAGTATACTATTGGAAAGTGCTCAAAATAATAAAATATGATATGAGGAAAGCTGTGTATATACTAAAATCAGGTACTTTAACTTTCAATTGTGTTTTTATTACAGTCTTTTTAGTAAATATAGTTACATTCTACCACTGATGAAAATATCACTAAGCTATGAAGGAGCAGTAGTTATTGTTCATTAAACTGAGAGTGCTGTACATTCAGGTTACAGAAGGGGGCGCTGTCCTCCTTATACCATGGTATGCGACCCGCCAGTAAAACCGAAGAAGAAGACATACCGGAAATACGCTTGTCAACTTCTTCCTTCTCTAGCAGTTGTTTCATCAGCCACGAGTGTCTGTATCCATCCGACAGGAGAGTTTCAGAAAGATGGGAGACTCTGTAAACGAGTACACAACCCGACTGCAACAGCAGGTAAGAGACGTTGCTTCTAAATATAAAAAATATCAGTGTTTTACCATTATTTATTATGTTGTTGTATTACCCTACTGCTGCATTGAGGTTGCATGTTACTGCTGTAGATGTTTAGGTTTGTGCTAATTTGAATTTCTTTAAATACTGACAGGGAGTTTAATCTACAGCAATGCATCATGTTCTATAAAATCAGCCTATTTGTATACAAACAATAACAGCCCTGTGATTATCTGTGTGACAATTCACATTCCCTCTAATCAAAGAGGATTTTTATAAAAACACATTACATGATTTAACCTAGAACATTTGGAGAATGCTCTTAACATCTTATGGAATAATTTGTCATTTAGTTTATCAGGTAAATTCACATTCAACACATTTTAAGATATATTAGCTAGCAGGCTAAATGCCAGGTAGCATCACACCGGCCAAACGTCATTATACACACTTTAGATTTAATGTTGTTTCAGAACAAATTACTACAACACTTTTCAAAACAAAGAATGTCTACAGAGTAAGTTGTCACCACTCTCAAATTCGGCTTACACCATGTACTTAAATGTAGCTACACCACCAAACGTCAATAAACAAACTTACAATTGAATGTTTTTTAGCAATTTGATAAAAGTAACTAATTTCCTGTGTGAAATAAACAATGTACCCCGGGTCAGTGTTTGCTAATCTCAGACTCGGCTAAGAAACTGTATACCAAATACCTATTGTTTTGGTACAATTGAAAAAATAGTCTCTCCATGTCATTTTTTAGGTCAACCCACTTTTCAGTGACACATCAGCAAGTAGCTCAATGACAGTGGTGTAATGTATTGAAGTACCTTAAAGGGGACCTATCATGCAAAATGCACTTTAGTACATCTTTTATACATGAATATGTGTCCCCGGTGTGTCAGGGAACTCACAAAGTGTCAGAAAACACAACCCTCTCTTTTCCTCCATACCCAAATCTCTAAAAACGGGGCTGCAACGGATCTGATACAGACTGATACAGACTTGAAATATCTCTGATGTCAGAAACAAGGAGCTCCGCCTATATGGGCAACTCTCCACCTATCAGGAGGAGAGAGCCACGGCCATTGCGCTGGTGGCGCTGTAGTCTGCCACAAAAGCAGCGAAGAAGACTTCTCACAGATTCAGCCCTTGCAAAAACAGGGCTAAAAAAGAGCAAATAGAGCGAAATGAGGCATGGCTAAAATGCATGATCTGTTTGGTATTTTGAAAAACAAATTCGCAGACATGTTTTATATAGGTATGGCCCTACAATATATTATTCAAATATAGCATGATAGGTCCACTTTAATTTAAGTATTGTACTTAAGTATGTTTTGGGATACTTAACTTGAGTATTTTCCATTTTACTTTATACCTCTACTCTACTATAAAATATGCCAATATTGTACTACATTTATCTGACAGAATTAGTTACTAGTAACTTTAAAGATTCCGATTATACGTTAACTTAAAATATGAATAAACTATGATATATATTTATAGGTTAAGATATTCAGCAGTAGTACATAAAGTAATTAAATGAGCTATACCTTTACCGTCTGTGATGAACACATTAATGCATCAATAATCATAATCCAGTGATTTCATATATTATTCTGAATTGAGCTCCAACGAACTATAAGTACTTTGATTTTCGTTCCTTCGAGTATATTTTGATGCCGACACTTTTGTACTTTGACTTAAGTACGATTTTGAAATGCATGACTTTTACCTGTAACTGATTTACTGTAGTAGTTCTACCTTTTACTTAAGTACAATATAGCAATTGTTGTCAAAGCAGTGATTCACTTGATGAAGTCTCTGATAGGATCAATTGTTGATCTGATTCAAAAATAGGTTTTTACTTGTTACTCTATTGCAGTCAGCTTGCAAGTAAGAACCTCAGCTGAGAAGATGCTGGTCAGGGAGATCGTAACGTTTTAAGGATTGAGTTAGTTTTACGGAAATGTAAATCTGTATGTTTTGTTTTTCAGGAGCAGGAGATCAAGAGTCTATCTGCAGAGGTTGATGGTCTAAAAAACCCACAGAACCTGAGTCCATCTCCCCGCCTGGAACAGCTGCGGGATGAAAACGCCAAACTGAAGTACCGCCTGAACGTCCTGAAGAGGGTGAGTACACAGAATACACATAAAACAATACTCAACAAATGTTCACACACAAACTGGGACATTTCAGGATTTTATTTGAATTTAACTTATTCAAATATCCTAATATTTTGCTATCTTAGAGCAATATGGATCTCAGTTACACAACGTTCAGAGTCAAGCATGTCTACAAACATTTCCTCCTTTTTAATCACATTACCACGGTGTTCAGAATTGAGATAAAGCTGCTTATCATATCATTAGCAAAACAAAAACAAATAGATTTTCTTTAAATGTAAGTACTGTCAAAATCCTGCAATGTATTGTACTGCAGGGTTTACTGTGCTTTTATGCTTTCCACCCTTGCAGCACGATTTTAAAATTACACTACTAGTGACTGAAACATTCGATTTTTCAATAAAAAAATCCTCTGAGGTGGCTGCAGCACAGAAAGCCAAACGGATGCTGGAGAAAGAGTCAGACACAAATAACAGTTTTTCGAGTCTTCTCAAGAACCACGCATTAAAACACATCAATCTTAAAAAGAGAAGAGATGATTAATGCCAGACTTAGCTATTAGCTTATTTCCATCTGCAGGTAAAATGATTCATGTCTAATCTTTGTATTAATGAGGCCGATGTGCTGTGTGTGCTCAGAGCCTGCAGGAGGAGAGGACGGTTCACTGCGGTAAATCCATGACCAACATCCTCCACCGGCTGGAGGAGATCTTCTGCGAAGCCATCCGTGCTGCGTACCCCGAGCTGGAAGACCCCCCCCTGTCCGTGGCCTCCAGCCAGCAGCCCAGGTTTGGAGAGTACCAGTGCAACAGCGCCATGGCCATCGCCCAGGTCTGTGGAGCACAGAGAATGACTCTGTGACGGCATTTTAGTTAAAGTTTCAGTGAGCGTACAGATCCAGAAATTCAATTAAAGTTCCTCTTTTTAGATTCCCTTAAACACTTTTTGAATTTCCTTAACTGCTCAACTCCTGAGCTTGCACTATTTGTATAGTTATGTCTTAATTAGTGCTGTCAAAATTATCGCGTTAACGGCGGTAATTAATTTTTTGAATTAATTGCGTTAAAATATTTAACGCACTTAACGCATGTGCAGAATGGCCCGCCCCATACGTGCCACCAGTGGCAGCGCCAGGGTATGGCTGGGGTAGGCTACACCCATACCAAGAAATGGCTTAGCCCCACCATGAAAAATGATGTTAAAGTAAGCAAAATAAAGTCTGCCAACTCGCGCGTAGTAAATTCCACAGACAGCAGCTAGTAAGATTGATTTCAGGAGCCACGGTTTTGAAAACTTTTGTCACGTAGTGATCGTCTTCTCAATAGAACATCTTTGATAACGGCGTGGTGTTGTTGCAGGAAGTCCCGACGGAGAATACTTTTGCTGTAGTACAGGGGTGCACATAACTGGTACGCAGGTTATGTGCGTAATCTCTCTGAAATGCGTACCGTCACTTGTGTCACAAAGCGCATTTGCGTACCGACGTACTTGTGAAGCTTTTCCAGAAGGCGGTTAGATCACCGGACGACAGAGTCGGTCTCCGTGTGCACAGACAGGGCTGCTGTTAACGTCGGTCTGTACAACGGAATTGTGCCAAAACTACGCCAACCGGCGGCGGAGGGAGACTCCCCCCCCCCCCCCCCCCCCCCCCCACTTCACTGGAGAACTGCGCTAAAACAGCTGATCACAACGTTCACACTCTGTGGTCACGAAGTACTCCACTAGCCGCCGCCCCCCCCCCCCCCCTGTCGACTTTCCTGAAGT